TCTGTAATTAAGGTTGGATTTTAGTAACTCATTTGGATTAAGATGAGTATTAAATGCATGAAAAGAAAATTAGGAAAAAAAAATGCCAGCAAATTAATGGTTAATAGCTTTGGTTAGTCTTTAATTATTTGCTAATTTACTTTTCCCAAAACTGCTTAATTCTCCATTAATCATGATTAATAATGCACCCCATAATGAAATTTAAACCCCTAAAACCCCCCATGTTTAGTTGTAATCTTCTAACTTCCACTTCTCCAAAAATATAATAATAGACTTAATATTAAATAATAATAATAATAATAATATCATTTATAAATTATTAGGGGTGGTTGGGGATCAGCATGGCTCGATATCTCGGCCTAATATAATTATTGAATTTTAAAAAATGATATAAATACGAAGGATGGCTAAAAAACGTGACAAGAACAAGAATGGAAGGAACGATGTAAAAGACGAAATGAAGGGGACTCTCAAATTTTTCGTGTCTCAAAAAGCTCCATGACTACAGCGTGAGAGCGAATGAGTCAAACGTGGAATCTGTTGCGGAGAGTAGCGTTTAAAACACTATCCGTTTAAATGCATTTATAATATATATATAGGACAAATTATATATTTAACAAAAAAAAAAATCTTAAATAATTGAATTTTTTTATTTTGTTATTTACTTTTTTGAAAACTTAAAAATAATCTTAAAAATTTGTGTGAAGATATAAATAAAAATAACGAGAAAATCATAATTAAAAAAAATGATTATTAAACCGTGGAATTTGATTATATAATTTAACAAAAAATAATAATAAAAAAAAAATGGAAATTATTAGACAAAAGTGTTAAATATTTTGTTCTCATTCCTATTACCAATAATTTTGTATATTATTATGATAATACTTTTAACTTAAAATAAATTATTTAAGTTTAAGCCCTCCAAATATATATTATAAATCGAAAATTTGAGTCAAAATAACAAAAAAGTCAACTTAAGTAAAATATAATTAGTTTATGAAAATATTAATAAAATGTATTAAAAATTGTTAAATTTCTTATTATTAATATTCTGTCTAAGGTAAGTTTATCAATATTATTTTTATTACATTTCATAAAAAATTCTTAAATATAATAAAATATTAATTTACTTTTTATGTCAAACCTACCAATTTAAATAAATGTTAGCATGTTGACAAAAAGAAAAGTACCTGAAGCTTGAATAAATAAATAAATAAATAAATAAATATATATATATATATATATAAATGAGGTAATGTGACAGATGAGCTGTGTGCCGTACAAATAAATAAATAAAAAAACTAAAAATCAGTAGGCCGATGTGTCGTTCTGATCCTTAACGCAATCAACGGGAGCGCACATAGAAGAGCAGTACTCGGAACTTCAGAAAACGACACTTCCCCAGCCGATATGTCGACGAGAATCGGGCCACATCCCAGGTCTCCACCCTGAAGTGGGCCCGCAGCCATGTTGGATTCTGACAGTGTGTGGACCCCGCTCACACGTGGAAACGGAGATAACGACAATATTTATTTGGTAGGAGATGACGTGGCCGGGGGCAGCGTACGTGCGGAAGCCTTTGCTAGGGTTTTTCCAGCTCATTTTTTTTTTAATTTTTTAATTGTTACATTATTATTGTAAATTCATTTTGTAAGTTTAAAAGGAAAAAGAAAAGTATATATATAATAATCATTTTGCTTTCGAATCTCTTACCATATATTTTACTCGTTCATTCTTAGCTCCCGGGTCAAATCGCCTGATTCCTTCTCTATCTGAGATCGCTTCCTTTTCGCCACGTGTCCAACTATTTCTTTTATACTTCTAAATTAAATAACTAACCCTACATATATATATATATATATATATATATATATATATATATTTTTTACAAAAATTGTATTTATTTTTCATCATTTTTTCATAATGAATTTTATTTTTCAAATTTTAAAAATAAAAAATTGACTTACCATAATATATATGAGTTAAAATAGTATTTATAAATTGAATTTTTAAAATTAAATTACAATAAATATGACCTAATTAATTCTAATTTAATTAGGATTTTTAGGCAAGCTTTTAACATTTTCATCTGTTCTCAATGTCAATTTAAAAAATCTCTATTTAATTTTAATAACGAGTTTATTTATTATTAAAATATGATTTATTCATATATGTAGACATGTAATATGTTGCTGGTTGCTTTTTTAACATATGAAACTCAATTTCCTTATTAATAAAATTTGACGAAATTATTATCATAATTAATTTTTTCAATATCACGTGCAAAAAATAAAAATAATAAGGTCGAAATAGTAATATTTTGTTATATGAGCTAACATAATTTATACTTTTTAAAATAGGTTGTATAAATCCAAAGATTTAAAAGATTATTAATTTACCCACCATTTAATATATTTAACTTTTTTTAAAATTTAATAATATTTATATATGATAAATTTATTTTTTAAAGAAAACATATATATATATATATATCCCTTTATTCATCCCCTACCCTTTGTAGTGACTTCTTTTTTAAGGTAACTGGTTTGCTCATTTATACTTTTATATTTCTTAGAGGTTATTTATTTATTTATTGAAATACTACAATTAAATATTTTTAAAAAATTTGTCAATTTTTTGAAAATAAAAAATTCGACAAAATTAAGTTTAGTGAAGGATTGAATTAAATATTTATTAGTATTTTTAAAACTCACGAAATTTAATTAAAAAAAATAGCTCAAATATCGTTTTTCATCATGGAGTTTATACCAGAACAGATGTTTTATTAATCCAATAAATGCATATTAAAGAAATTTAATGATGCTTTATTTTAGGTAGAAATGGATAGTATGGTAAAAATTATTTATTATTATTTAAGAAAATAGGAAGAAAATAAAAGAATATTAGTGGGGTTGTGGGACCGACCTCACAGTAGCTCTGCTGTAATGAAAGACAGCCAGCTATGGCTTCCAGCCTGTTTCATCTTCACATCCTCAATACTCCAAATTCCCTTCTTAATATCTTCCTCTCTTCTCTTCTCTCTTCACATTCAACGATCACCTGAAATTTCTCTCTATTTCCTCTCCCTTTTTTTTATTTTGTCTCCGGCGAACCCTGCCGACGCCGGTGATATCGACTTCCTCATGGATCCCTGCCTCTTCCTTCGGGTTCTCGTCGGGAATTTGGCAGTTAAGTTTCCGGTCGCCGCTAAACCCTCCTTCTCCGGCGTACATCCGTCGTCTTCTCCATGTTTCTGCAAAATTAAACTCAAGGACTTTCCGACGCAGTTCGTCACCGTTCCTCTCCTCGTCGATGGCGAAATTTCCGATGCGACCAGTTCTTCTTCTTCGTCGTCTTCTCACTCTTCACTCGCTGCCTGTTTTAGCCTCAATAAATCTCAGATTGAGAAGCTTATTTCGAAGCGGAAGGATCTGTCGGTGAAGATCGAAGTCTTCACCGGCGGCCGTGCTCCGGCCAGTTGCGGCGGCAACATTCTCAGAAGCTCTGCGAAGTTACTCGGCCGAATCGTCGTGCCGATCACTGCTTCGAGTCTGGCAGAAACCAAACCGTGCTTGTTTCAGAACGGCTGGACTGGAATCGGCGAGGGCAAAAGAGGTAACTCGTCGGCTCAATTGCACTTGACGGTTCGCGCTGAGCCGGATCCTAGATTCATGTTCCGGTTCGATGGTGAACCGGAGTGTAGTCCTCAGGTTTTTCAGGTGCAAGGAAGTGTATGCCAACCGGTTTTTACTTGCAAATTCGGTTTCAGAAACGAACGGGATTGGGATCGTTCAAGGTATGAACACGTATCTTTCGTGATCTTCTGTTTGTTTCGCGAGAAAATTGCGAAGAAAATCGTCGAAGAGAGATAAAATTTAAAAATCAAAATAATAAATAAAAAATCTTCGTTGGTTCTGTTACTGATCTTGATTCTCTGAAATTAATTGCAGGTCGTCAATTTCTGAACAAAGTAGCACTTCGAAGAGTTGGTTACCGAAGATCCGATCCGAGAAGGACCAATCGGCACATGAGCGAAAAGGATGGTCCATAACGATCCATGATCTTTCCGGATCGCCGGTTGCCGCTGCGTCGATGGTGACGCCGTTCGTCCCGTCGCCGGGATCACACCGTGTAAGCCGCTCAAATCCCGGCGCGTGGCTAATTCTCCGGCCGGTAGATGGTAGCTGGAGGCCGTGGGGCCGTCTCGAGGCCTGGCGGGAGAGCGGCGGCTCCGATTCAATCGGCTACCGTTTCGAACTCCTCCCGACGATCTCCGCTGCTGCCCCGCTGGCTACCTCCACCATAAGCTCGAGCGCTGGCGGTAAGTTCACAATCGACATTACCGGCAGTGCGTCGCCAACGATTAGCCCTAACGGAAGCTTCGACCTCAGTTCGAGTTCCGGATCTCGACCCGGATCCGGGGATTTCGGGTACTTGTCGTCGTATCAGTACAAAGGATTTGTGATGTCGACGACAGTGGAAGGGATGAAGAAGCAGAGCAGGCGGCCGGAGGTGGAGGTGGCGGTGCAGCACGTGACTTGCACAGAGGACGCAGCGGTGTTTGTGGCGTTGGCGGCGGCGGTGGACCTGAGCATGGACGCCTGCAGGCTGTTCTCTCAGAAGCTAAGGAAGGAGCTTAGGCAATGAAAAGTTTGTCGTCGTTTCGTGTGAATGCGCTTGTCGTTTTGTAATTTTATATCCATTTTCTATTTATTTATTTTTCAATACTTGAGCTGTACTTTTGTATAGAGGAATTATTTTTCAATTTTTTGTATTATATTATTTTGAATCTTTTTATTAAAAAAAAAATACATTTAATTTTTGAGAGCAAACCCATGAGAAGTATCCAATGGAGGATTAAGAATCCTAATTTAATTTTCTTTTTAATATGTTGAAGTGTTATAATTACAATATTTTTATTTATTTTGTGTAAAATAAATAAAGATAAAGTTGATGGATAATAAGTGAAAACCCTAATAAGCAAAATCATGGCCATCAAGAATTGAATAAGCAACTGCTCCAAAACTATATATAATACGTTCAGATATCACATCCATAGAACCAAGCAGTCAACAAAGAAGGATTGAAATTGATTATACAAAGTTAACTAACTTCCTCCTCCTATAGCCGATCCTCCGAGTATAAGATGATCAAATTTTCAATTCACAAAACAAACACTCAGCATAATCAGAAAACTCAAAAACGCTTCCTTGAAAGAAACCCTCCCTCCTCATTCTGCTGCAGCCTCGTCACCGTGGTCAACCCCGGTTCTAATATCGGGTAATGTATCCAGATCAACACGTTCGGTTACATGGGAGTCGTTCGAATCGATTGGATCTTCATGAACTGGGTCTTCAGTATGATTTGCTGGGTCAGAGTTCTCGCCATTGGATTCGCCATTGTCTTCCAGCTTCTCATTCTGAGTAGTTTCTCTGTTCTCGCCAGTAATTTCCGGCTTCTCATTCTGAGTAGTTTCACTGTTCCCGCCAGTAATTTCCGGCTTCTCATTCTGAGTAGTTTCACTGTTCTTGCCAGTATCTTCCAGCGTCTCATTCCGAGCAGTTTCACTGTTCTCGCCAGTATCTTCCGGCTTCTCATTCTGAGTAGTTTCATTGTTCTCCTGGGTTTTCATGGTGGGTAAAACATTCTCCAGTTCAGTCGCTTTGTCGTCTTTCTCTGGTTTGGTCGTTTTGTCATCTGTAACAGTAAGACCTGCCTCACTAGTGATATTCAAGGTCTTGCCTTCAACCCCATTTGAATTTTCATCTATACTGGTAGTGTTAGACTGAGATTCAGAATGGTTGTTCTCCAAAACCGTGTCATTCAAATTTGTAGGCATCGACGAGTGAAGAGATGTTTCATTCTGAGCAGTCAAATTCTCTATGGTTTCGTTTTGAGCATGATTCAAACCAATTTCCAATCCATTCTGCTGGGAAGAATCAGCATTCTCTACCTTATTTGTCTCAGTTGTTGCAAAGGATGAATTATCGCTAAGTTCGGGTTGATCAATGGATTGAGTAGTCAGGGTTGAGTTTTGAACTGAACCATCAGTAGGTAGGTACGTGTTCTTCACATTACTTGGGTTCTCATTGGTTGAAGTTCCATTGTCAGCCATTTTATCAACTTCCTCAGTTAACTGTGAACTGTTGTGAATCCGTTTAAATTCCTCGGTGTCGATAGATTCACCTTCCTGTTCTTTGTTTTGCAGCTCCAAGTTTCCATTTGAATTCTCCAAATTCACTTCCTCTGTCTGTGAGGTGGTAGAGTGGTCATCATCATGGGCGACTGCACTAGAAGCATCATCTCCCTTGTAGTTTTCCTCACGTGCCTCGTGATTGCGTTGATCGCCACCGTCATTCTCCTGCTCATCGGAAGAATTCTCATTTTCTTTTTGCTCCTCCTTATCCCTCTCTTCATTTCCTCCCGCCTCCTCATCACTGTCTTCATTCAATCTCTCGTCGTCGGCCTTCTCACCTTCATGATCGGGTTCAATATCTGCCTTCTCTTGATCATTCTCATCTATGTCATCATCGCCTCCTCCTCTCCCGTCGTCATTGGTCTCCTCTTCATGCTTGCTTCCTTCATCCTTTTCATTGACTGCCTCGTTTTTCAGTTCTTCATGATCCTCTTCTCCCTCCTCATGCTTCGAGTCTTCTTCCTCACCTCCCACCTCTTCTTCCTCATCTTCCTCCTGCTTCTCACCGGGATGAACTTCCTCAACATGGGGGTGAAGGTCTTTCCTTCCGAGTTTCAAAACATCAACACCATCCTGAGTTTTTATCACTTCATTATCTTTCTGGTCAAATTCTTTCTTCTTGTCATGGGAGCGTTTTACCTGATAAATTAACCAAAAGCAAACACCAACCAACAGAACAATCTGCAGAATATGCTTCACCTTGATGCCTTTCGACCTGCTGCTCCGACTTGACGATTTCTTCAACATGGTGAATTTCCCTATAGCCAAAACCCTTATATCTTTACTTCTTCCTATTAAATAATCAAATGTCAGCAGTCCAGAAACATTCTTCTTTCAACAAAACTACACCATAAACTTTCAACAATTAAAGAATTACAATACCCAATATCACATTACATATTTCTAACAGCACTTAGACTATTACATCGAAATTTTCAGAACATGGCAGAAGATATCCAATAAGAGCACTTAGCTATAATTCTCTCTTATCGAATTGGAGAGGTTTTATGTAACACTCCAACACTAAATGATAAAGAATCACTACAAGGAAAGTAAGATTCGAATTATCCTATTGATCGAATATCTTAAGACAAGAACACTTGCGGATGAAATGGCCATAACACTTTTTTTGTAATTTCACATCATCAATACAATTGTTTCTTATCCTAAAATGAACGAAACGAGACTTCATTGACTCGATTCATTTATAGGAGCCCTTCGGGATAAACGGACAAGCATAGTAGTCCAAACCGACTCACCACAAAATCCCTCAGCAAGATTCACTGACTTTAAAGATTGATCAAAGGTAAAATACAACAACTCAGGTTCTGTAACCATTAGCCAGCATTTCATTCAGTACTAATGCCACAATCTTTTCTCTTCCAAAAGAATCGTCTCTTGCATCTTTCTAATGCTCCTTCGAAACGAGACACACTATCCATTTCTACCTCATTTAAAATTTTTCACTTCTCAATAATCCAAAAGAAGAACAGAGAATCACATGATAGCATACATAAAGGTAGCCTTCAAGCTTTCTAAATTCTAAATGGCTAAGTCAACGCAGTCAGGCTGCAAAACAACCAGTTTACAACATGCCTAATTTACAGCTTCGAGCCTATCCGTACATGGAATACTAACAATAAGAAGATGCAATTTCTAAAGAAAAATTAAGTTACAATCAAAACCAGAAAATTCAGATCCACAGCACATGGAACTCCCAAATTTGGAAAACCAAACGGCAGATTTGCAAGAATGGATACCGACACTAAACCAAAATTAAAGGCCTACACAAAACCCCCATCAAACCAATTCTTGCAAGCCTATCCTACAATTAAACAACCGCGATAAGTCCCTCATAAACCCTAACACCGATCAGATAAACAATACGCCAAAATGAGCCCCACAAATTCTTCCTTCTCTCACAAAATTATGGAAATAGAAGGAAAATCTGTAAAGAAATGAGTTCCAAGAAGAATCGCCCACTCAAAGCTCTCGAACCAGATTGAAAACTCGGAGACTAGAACAGTTCAGTAGGAAAGTTGAAATGAAGAGTAAAGGGATTGAAAACAAAAGTACCTGCAAGAAGATGAAGCAGAAGCGGGCGACAATGACAAGAAAGAAGAAAAGCGAGATGATTGTTGCGGCAATCAGAGGATGTTCAAGGTTTCAACCATGGCGGGAGGTGGAGAGAGAGTATAAAAGTTGGAGAGGGAGATCGGATCCAATACCAAGAAGGAACAAGTAGTCGCTATACCAAAAATTAAAAGGGAAAAAACCCCTCCTGCTCTGCCACTACAGATTTTTTTTTTTTTTTTTTTTCTCCCTTAGAAAAAATAATTGAAAAAAAAAAAAAAAAGGAAAAAAGATGGAATTTTGTGNGGATGGGATGGGATTGCCCGACCCTGAAACGTTAACCACCTGTGACCCATTACCCCATCAGCCATAAATTGGAGTTGTTGGCTGATCAGAGTTTAAAAAAAAAAAAAAAAAAAAAAAAATTGTAATATTAGTCTCGAGTATACCACAATTATAAGTAGAAACTCATACAAATATTAGATAAAAAATTGAACTTACCGACTTACTTGTGGTGACTAAGCCAATTGACTCACTCGACTCTAACACCATCTTGTCTGACTTTATCCATTACACATCATTTTAGTCGATAAATTTGTAATTTTAAAATAAAGGTTGAATAAGTTAAATTTTTTATTTAATAAAACTTAAAATATAACTAACATAATTTTTAAAATTTAGAGATTTATTAAACACAATTTTTAAAACATTTTATAAGTTCAGTAGAATATTATATTATTTTATTATTTATGAAATATTATTAAATTTATTGAGATGTTTTAGATTTTTTAATATAAATTAAAAAAATAAAAAATATGTATTAAAAATTATTATATATATGCAAAAAAAAAGATTCTATTTGAGAACCCGGTTCTAGAAAATTGTCCACGGGAATCTGGATTCTGCAAAAAGAAATTGATCTTTTATTTATAATATGAGGGGCATTTCAGTAATTCAACAAATGAGGCATTTTTTTTTTTATTTTACGATTTTGATTATTTTTCAATTATTATTATTATTTCTTTGCCCACGAAGCGGAGAAAAAGACGAAAGCAATGGCCGATAAACAGAGTAAGAAAAAAAATGGTCGGCTTTTGAACTTCTGGTGTCCTCCACTTACTCCGGCCCCGTCGATCTCGATATTCAGAACCGGTGAACGCCGGTAGGTTGCGGCAGTGGGTTTTTGTCTCCGGTGTGGGTCTCATACTGCATCGAGTTAATTGCCGTCGTGGGTCTCCCGATTTGGAGGCCGAAAACACGGTGACTGATTTTTCGCATCTCTGCCGAGTGCATTTCTTCTCGGAGACTTGGAACAGCAACGGGCTGGTGGCTGATGTTCTCAGTGCGAAAATGATCATAGATTTATAATTAAAGAATACNTCTCTATTAACATGACTTTTTTTCTTTTTTTTTTTTTTTTTTTTTTTTTTTTTTTTTTTTTTTTTTTTGCAGGAACTCGAAACAAACCCACGAGATTATTTTAAAGTGGACAAATATCATGATTCGTAACATGGTATCATACCATGAATTTAACTTAGCTATGTTGAACAAAAAACGCTGTAAGCCTTAAAATCGTAGTAAAAAATGTCGAACAAATGAAATATTTTGTTTAATGACTCTAAAAAAAGAAGTCAAATCTCGATTAAGGGGAGTTTATTTTAGAAATTCATATGCTTCAAGGAAGGCTATATGGTGTATTTTGTTCGAGGGAGGCTTTATGATCCTAGGTAATATGTATAGACTTCCCAGGTGGCTCTATGTGGTATACTTAATTAGAGGGGAGACTATGTGATCATCCGTTTATAAGTAAGGAGGTCAAAACAAAGTCATAAGAGTTTATGTTCAAAGTGTACAATATAATACTATCGTATACAATATCATAACTTTATTTCAATTCATAAATTCATGATATTACAATTCATAATATTTTTAAAACCAAATATCTTCGGACCACTGAAGAATTATAAGGTTTTTTCCAATATAATTGTCGGGAGGATCATAATTGCAAACAACAAACTGAGAATTACCCTTACAGGGCACTCTAGCACATCCAAGCCGCACCGAGCTTCACCAGACCATCTGAGTGTAGTGCCCACATTCACCACCCACACATTTATTCAATGCATGATCATACAGCGGCTTCTCGTTCGCCCACAGCTTCATTGCATCCACCCCAGTGAACTCAGGGTAGAACCAGCGGCTATATTTTCTCCGTACGACCCGATTGAGTGAATCATGGCACAATCACCCATTCTTTTTTCCGCACAGGCTTGAGCGTACACGGCCACAGTGCTGCTCCATTGCATGGGGCCGACACCGACCTGAGCTTGAACGTGGTTGTGAAGTGCGAGGTAGTCATGGGGGGCGTTCTGAGCGTTAGTTAGGACAAGGAGGACATGAAAGTGGCAATAAAAGCGGCCATGATCAGAGGGGTTTGAGTCCACATAATTCCGATGAGAGATGAGATGAAGATCGAGAATAAGGGAAGGATTTATATAGAGATGGAAAATTTAATATGGAATGTGATGGGAAAACCATGAATTATAAACTAATTATGTCATTAGGGCTTCACGACTAGATTTTTGTTTGAATTAGGTTCAAATAAATGAAAATTTTCTAAATTTAGTTAGTTTATGAATTTTTTTAGGATTAATGAAGCTTAATCCACGATAATTATAGTCAATCTTAAAAAATACATTTTTACTTGCCATTTATGTATTTACACCGTATATATTTATTATTTTATTTAATTTCATAATTTTTTTTTATTTATTCTTCCATAACTTTTTAAAATATATATTAAAATTGAATTGCTTAATTAAATATTTGAAAATAAATAAATAAGGTTAATATTTTAATTAAAGTTTTGAGTAAATGATGATTTAACCCAAAAAAATTATAATTGAGTTAGATTGGATTTATTATATAACAAGAATTTTTTAGATTAAAAATATTTACGACGTCAATTATGAATTTTTGTATTTTTTTTCTTTTTTAAAAAATAACGGTAACTTAAAACATATCCATAAATAAAATCTCATACCTCTCGATTAATATTATATTTAATTATTATTGAGTTATATTCACTCTACAATTATTATAAAAAATATTTTTATAATAATAAATTCCTAACCTATATTGTAAATTCCAACTCAATATAATTTCTCAAATAAAATAAATTTTCCATTTTAAAAAATTAGAGGATTAATTCCATATCTTTTAACGGATCCAAAAAAAATAAATGCATAAAACCATATCTAATTAGGGTAGAATATTATATTATATTATTATTTATGAAATATTATTAGATTTATTAAGATGTTTTATATTTTTTAATAAAAATTAACTATTAAAAAATGTTATATATATATATATATTGCTAAAAAAATTTGAACCCGGTTCTAGAAAATTGATCGTTTTCTATTAAATGAAGGGCATTTCAGTATTTCGATAAAAGGGCATTTTAGTAATTTAACAAAAACAGACTTTTCTTTGATTTTACCATTGTGATTATTTATTATTTATTATTTATTATTATTGTTGTTTTCTTGCCAACAGAAGAGGAGAAAAAGACGAATGCAGTGGCCAATAGACAGAGTAAGAAAAAATATGGTCGCCTTTTGAGCGTCGGGTGTCCTTTAGTCACTCCAGCCCCGTTGGTCTCGATATTCAAAGACGGTAAATGTCGGTAGGTTGCGGCAATGGGCCTTCGTCTCCGCTATGGGTCTCATAGTGCAGCGGAGTTAAATGCCAGTGTGTAGATTTGTGACTCCTAACACTCGTAATTCTCCAAGATTTTTAATGTGTATTGAAGATTCGTGATTCCTAAAATTCAATGATTCTCCATTAACTTTTGTAGTTTTAGATGGAAATTTTCGATAGATAATTTCGTGCAAAACTTCATTTTCATTCATAAATTCATGATTCTCTCCCAACATTTATTACAATTCATAAAAATTTTAAAATCAAATCTAGTTAGAGAGAAGAACCATAAGGCTTGTCCCCAATATAGTTGCCCGGAGGATCATAATTGCAAACAACAAACTGAGAATTACCCTTACATGGCACTCTAGCACATCCAAGTCGCACTGAGCTTCGCCACACCATCTGAGTGTAGTGCCCACATTCACCACCCACGCATTTGTTCAATGCATAATCATACAGCGGCTTCTCTTTTGCCCACAGCTTCACTGCATCCACCCCAGTGAACTCAGGGTAGTACCCAGCGGCTATGTTTTCGCCGTACGGTCCGGTTGAGTGAATCATGGCACAGTCACCCTTTCTTTTTTCTGCATAGGCTTGAGCGTACGCGGCCAAGGTGTTGCTCCATTGCATGGGGCCAACACCAACCTGGGCTCGAATGCTATTGTGAAGTGCGAGGTAGTCACTGGGGGCATTTTGAGCGTTGGTTAGAGTGAGGAGGAACATGAAAGTGGCCATGAAAGCGGCTAGAGGAGTTTGAGTCCACATAATTCCGATGAGAGGTGAGATGAAGATTGAGAATAAGGGAAGGATTTATATAGAGATGAAAAACTTAATATGGAATGTGATTGAAAAAGGATGAATTATAAACTAATTATGCATGTTTGGAAATTCAATGAGAATACATTTATTATGCTTTCCATATTTAATTACATATTTAATTACCGACTAGATTTTTGTTTGAATTAGGTTCAAATATTATTTATGAATTTTACTTATATTAACGAAAGATTCATTATTTACTTATATATTTATTGTTTTATTTAATTTCATAATTTTTTTTTATTTATTCTTCAACTTTTTAAAATATTATTGAAATTAAATGGTTTAATTAAGGGTTGAAAATAAATAATGTTAATATTTTTTGAGTATTAATATTTTAATTACTATTGAGTCAGAGTGAGATTGATTGTACCATTATTATTAAAAAAAAATAATAATAATAATTTTAGAACAATTAGTTAAAATAAAAAGTATTAATAAAAATCATTTTATAACCAATCAAATTCCAACATATATTGCAATACAATTCCCCAAATAAAATAAAGTTTCCATTTTTAAAAATTAGAGGATTAATTCTATATTTTTATGAATCCTTAAAAAAAAAAAAAAAAATCCAATTAAGAACGATTATGAAAAAGCAAAATTTGAACTGCTCACAATTAAATTTCAAAACATGTTTTTTTTTTTTTTTTTTTTTTTTTTTTTTTTTTTTTTTTTTTTTTTTTTTTTTTTTTTTTACAAGAAAAATTGATGATTGTTTATCAAATAGTTGAATTTTGGTAAGTAATTTAAAAGGGATTAAAATAGAATTTTTTTTTAAAAGAAATTATTTAATGGTTTCTTTATTGTATTTATGGTATGCACACAAACCCTGTCTTGGAGATAGAATTTTGTGTCTGGATCATTCATGAATATCAAATTAATGTCATTTTCTTATATAATTCATCGATTTTCATTATTTTTAATATGCATATTTTTTAGAATAGTAAATATCTAGATATTTACCTTAAATTACAGTTTACCATGTTTGCTCTTTTATTAAAAGCAAATATATTGTATTCATTTCCTATTCTATCATTTTATTGTTATTTTCATATTATTTATAATTTATCATATTCTTCTATTCTGCAAATAATTATAAATAGAGAACTTTCACCACTACTACTGACGTACGTTGGTTTCAGCAAACATTGTAATAGTATCAGAGTCCTTTAGGTTTAACAACATTGATCCTTTCTTCTTTATAGCTTCCGAATCCTCTTATCATCTTCTTCCTTTCAACACTCTACTCCATATGATCACCATCAAACTTTCTTCCTCCAGTTATCTTTTTTGGAAAAGTCAACTTCTTCCTCTCCGTGAGAGTCAAGACATGTTGGATTATGTTGATGGAACTATGGTTCTACCACCTCGCTTTGAATCAGAAACCTCCTTAACACATATAATATATGTAATTTGGATATATATTTATACCTATAAAGACAGATATCCTAACCCCTTTTAAAACTGTCCAAATAAGTTCTAAACTTTTATATGTATATCTATTTGGTTCTTAGACGTCCAAATAAGTTCTAAACTTTTATATGTATATCCATTTGGTTCTTAGACTTTCATTTTCTTGACATATTTTACATTTTTTAAATTTATGGATCAACCAGACAAAAATAAATAAATAAATAAATAAAAGTTAATTAAGGGTCCCATTAAACAAGATATAATTCTACGTTAAATAAATAAATTATTTTAAAGAAAAATAGAGATATAATAGATACAATATCCAAAGTTTAATAACTTAATGTAAAAATAGAAAATGTATTGAGCTTTTATAATTTTAAATGTAAAAACTAAATAGAAATGATAAGAAATTAATTTGACAATAAATGCATACTTAAAAACATGGTTGTCATATGTATTTATTATGTTAACAATTATATTACATAAATGGTGAGATACTAAAGATAATTAAGATATAAAATAGAAAAAGAAAATTAAAAAAAAAATGATAAATTAGTCAAATAATAATGAGCATTTACGAAAAATTTGTTAGACATTAAGACTACCCAACACAGATTATGGCAATATCAAGATATTTGTTTAAGAATATGATGTCACAAATATTTTTGTAAATTTTTTTTTTTTTTTTTTTTTTTACTTCTAAACTAAATTATATATTTTGTCTCCGGTAACAACTTCACCGCTAGCAAATATTGTCTTCTTTGGGCTTTCGCTTTCGGACTTCCTCTCANGGCTTTAAAACGCGTCTCCTAAGAGAAGGTTTCCACACCTTTATAAATGGTGGTTTGTTCTCCTCCCAACTAATGTGAGACATCACAATCCACCCCCCTTCGCTGTTTCTCGAAGGGGGCAGACACGAGGTGAACAAACCACATTGGTTGTGGAAATAATGGAGGATGCTCCACATTGGATGGGGAGGAGAACAAACCACCATTTATAAGGGTGTGGAAACCTTCCTGCATTTTAAAACCTTGAGAGGAAGCCCGACAGGAAAAGCCCAAAGAGAACAATATCTGCTAGCGGTGGATCTATTGTAAAGAACTAACTAGATTGGGAAGCATCCTTGAAAATTTCAAACCTGATAACCAAGTTGAGAATATTAATCCTTCTCTTCAATTCTACCAATAAATATGATCCAAGAGCACTTTTAACAGGTAAAAAAGCAATGCAATTTCAGGGTGTTAAGGATAAATTATACTAACTTCTAATGTTGTATAGATGCTGTATGAACAAGTCGTTCCATGTATCGGTGAGTCCCGGCAAGCACCAATGCATACAGTCGTCGTGCTTCTTTCCACCAGCTGAGGCAGGATGTGCATCAGCTCTCAACTCACTCATGGGAGTTATGTTCAAAATATGGAAACTGGTTCCATTAAGGGCCTTGAGGAGGTGCTCATTTACGAGACGAACCTCGACATTGGTTCTGTTATTGCTCAGCGAGAACAGATCCTCGGCCTGAAAGACGACTACCCTTTGAGACGGTTTGTTTCATTTAGGAGAAATCATGGAAGACGCACAGAATAATAATCTATGTCTAGCAGAGCTTTCGTTAGAATATGGAATAAAATGTGAGTTGATCACCTGCTGTGGAGATAGAGGCTGCTGCCGCTGGCAAGAACCACCTTGGTACCAGTCACCTCCTTCAAAATGTCTAGGTGATTGCGTGCGGAAGAATTTGATTGCACCGGGTGGCATTCTTTTCTCAACGTATGGTATCTACAATGAACAAGAGATCATTCACAAAATGATAAAGCAAAAATGAGATCCAGCACAATTCTTTCCCATATTTAGTACAAGGTCAATTCCTATATACATTTCGACACTAGGTGTGAAATCTTACATCAATCAGTTAGGAGAGAACGAAACATTATTTATAAGAATGTAGAAACCTCTCTCTAGCCGCCGCATTTAAAATATCTTGAGGGGAAGTCTGAAAGAGAAAGCCCAAAAAGGGTAATATCTGCTAGCGGTAGGCTTGGACTGTTACACTAAGAGTGTTCATGATCTAACTCATGATTGCGTACCTTTGGGCAGTTAATGCACATCTCACAACACAATATTTTAGTGTTCGAAGTTCTTATAATATTTGATAAAATATCAAACAGAGGTGGCCATAAAAACTTGAATGCAGACTTCAGTGAACTCAAAATATTATGAATTTGAGTGAAACAATTATTTAAACTGAAAATTTAAAAACTTAAGAATGACTCGTGTTGATCTTTAGTTTATAAATGGAAATATTTGCACCTAATTGAACATGATTGAGTCCGCTGAAAAGTTTCTAGTTTGAAAAATTATCTGAAAACAAGTTAGAATTTAGCTCACACAGTCTAGAATAGTTAATAGATCAAACTGACATCCAAGAGAGGAAATAAAGAATTGTGTACCATATGTTGCAGAACCTTGTCCAAGCCAACATCAGGAGGTACTGGAGGGATGATAGGCTGACCCATTTCGAAGAAAAGCATTGGTGATTTTACAGGGTCAAATTTTGAAGGTGCCCACCACCTATTTGAAAGAAATGAACAAGTCCAAATTACCTATCTAAAAAATCAAATACATGCAAACTTGATTGTCGATGGATTTGAAAGGGAATATTTTGTCAAAAACAATCAAAGAATGTGATCATATAGTTGGACGAATATAAGATATCAACAGCATTCTAACCTAGTCAAATCATCGTAATTCTCTCGCCTTCTACAGTCGAAATTTCCTACGTTCCACGTGATAAAAACATCAAAATAGCATGTAGAAATTATTTCAAAGTTTTTGAGGTTAGCAGAATATAATCCTATCATGATGTGGTTCTCATACATATTTATCAATTATCATACTTCGTTATGCCAAATTCCACGAAGTCAAACTAAAGTATGTATTTCCACCCCCCCACAACTAAAATTATGCATACCATAAAAGCTGAGTTGAATTGGAAAAACAAATTTAAGTACCAGTGTCCTGTGTTGAAAACTAAAATATCATGGAAGTTTGGAGCCTCTATCCATGAACTTTCTGGAATGTCAACATCAACTCTGTAACCTTCTTTATATCCAAGAGATTCCAATTCTCCACCGTCAGCATTAGCTGACCACCTGACTCAAACAGAAGTAGGAACAAATAATGTTAGTTGTCAACTGCTACAGCGCAACAAAAAGATGAAAGTGGAAATTGTAATGTAAACGTGAGAAGTCCTTTTATACAACATACCGTGTACTGGAAAAGAAAAGGTACAAAAGGGCAAATAGTTTGGAAAATGTCTATAAGCTTCCCCAGTGAGAGAAGTACGTGGCTTAGAGACACGTTGCTTAAATGAGATTTTAAACAATACACCTTTGGAACACAGTTGATTGAGACGTTTTTCATCAAGAAACAAAGCTTTTCATTAAAAAAATTTCATGAGCCCAGTGAGTCCTCGGGAATGTTTGGTGCCAAAATCTTGAGTCGACTCCCTTAAAAGTAATGAAATGTACTAAAGAACGAAGGGAAGCTCCCACTTCGAACGGAACTCAATTGTGCGGTTCTCATGGGCGACAAAGCATTGGAGAAAAAGGTAATCCCGACTTACCTAATTGTGTATGCTCCCTATAAGGAACCTAAAAAAAACCGTTTCCTACTAGAGAAGTGAAGATTTTAATGATATCCTCACAGGATAACAGTAAATTCCAAAGTTCTATCCACAAGAACATTTTGCTCATGAGCAATCCTAAAACCATCAAACCCCTTCAGCTACTCTCAGCCCTTTGTTATCCTAAGACCTCCACTAGAGAAGTGAACATTTTGTTATGCTCCCTATTCTACTCTTTTGATGAACAAATTAGATGCCTAATCCAAGAATGGTAGGAAAATGATAGACAAAACATTTGGTGTAAATTCGACAGATCAGACAATATCCAAATTTCTAACGGCGTGAAAGATCATGAAGAAATAGAAGAGTTCGATGGATATAAGAATTGGTGGTTAATGATAAATCAAACTAGTCATCATAACACATTACTTACGATGCATATCGCGCCAGAATATTTGTTCTATGATATGTAATAGTAAGATTGTACTTCAGAAATGAAAAACCACGATCAGCACCAGCAGGACGCCACTTTTTCACTTCACCCGGCACGCGTTTCAGAGAACAAAAAAGTGAAACAAACATGTTCCTATTTAAGGAGTCGCCAACAAATCCTGCACTGCAAAACATTCATAAAGTCCATATCCAGCATTATAATAGACATAGATTGATCAAATATATAAGCATGCCTATGCCAAAAATATGGATAAAAGATCAAATATAACATAATCAATTAACATGGTACTAAACTAAGAATAGAAGGTTCTGCATTTGAATTTCTGCCTAATTTTCAAGCTCGCCAATGGAAGTACTAAAAATTTGTATGAATATGTCATAACCCGTCAGCTTCACCTGATATATTCTACTTTCTCCACTCGCATCAGAGACCAATTTCATGTTAACTGTGAACTGAAATCATGAAAAGAAATGTCTGTCTATTTTACTGAATGAAAAGAGAGTACGGAAATTATAACTAAGCAACGCTCGGGAACTTGATAACGCTTCATCATTTAAGTACAAACTTCTTTTTGTGCCCCCAGAAATCTTTGCAAGCAAAACAATTTAAGTACTCAACAGTTAAGCACAAACAGACAGCAGGACGCGGAAAAAAATTGCAGCAAGGATGAAAGGGAGACCAAGCGAGTACCGATGTTAATATTTCTAAACTTCTCGAGAAAGGAAACCGGATCAAAATGCGGAAGATCACATTGCTTCGGCTTCCAATGCCAATTGATGATTTGGGGAGCATTGGACTTGTTCGCCGCATAGCAGTTCCAGCCTTTGAAAATCTCTTTGCAGGTGTGGTCGTACTTGGAGGTTCTCAAATTCGGATCGTAATACCAACTTCCATCGGAATAATCGCACGACCCGTCCCTAGCCGCCTTCGATCTCCCGGATCTATCGCCATTGTTGAATTGGATGCTCTGATGCGGTTGTAGAGGGGCCGAGGTTTTACGGAAAGCTGAGAGAGCGAGAAGAATGGAAAGGAAGCAGATAAGAGAGAGTAAGGGGAAAAGAGGAACTTGCTTCGCTTGGTAATGACGATGGTGGTTCTCCCTCACCGCCATGGCCGGAGCCGGAGATTCCAGCTCTAAACGCTCATTCTCATTCGCTGATATATATTATTCTTTTTTTTTTAATAAACTTTGCTTCAAAATTATGATGCTGTTTAGTAAAATTACAAGTTTAATTTTTCAAGTTAAGAGCTCTTGTCTCTTTCGTTGTTTAATTTTTAAAATTATAAATTATAAAATTTAAAAGATTTACTTAATATAAAATTAAAAATTTAGAGGGATGAAATATCATTGAAATTTATATTTAATAAATAATTTTTTTTAAATGCATTTGTAAAAAAATGCACAAAATTTAAAACTCGTTAATTTATTAAACACACAGCACAAAAAGTTAGAAATTAAAATAATTATTTACTAAATTAATAAAAAATATATATATATATATATATTTTGTTCCGAGACAAAAATAAATAAATAAATAAATAAAAGTATTAATAATTTATTTCAAAAATATTTTTAAATTTTTAAACCGTTTCAAAAATACCTTTGAATTTTAAATTTTTTATATCATACCCTTCAAATTTAAAAAATAAAATAAAAAATACTCACTATTATCCTAGAATAATATGTTTAAAAAATACACATGAAAGTAAAAAAAAAAAAAAAAAAAAAAAAAAAAAAAAAAAAAAAAAAAAAAAAAAAAAAAAAAAAAAAAAAAAAAAAAAAAAAAAAAAAAAAAAAAAAAAAAAAAAAAAAAAAAAAAAAAAAAAAAAAAAAAAAATTTAATGTTATTTTTGAAAGTTCTTTTTAATTTAAAAATGTGTTTTTTAAAGTTTTTAAAAAAAATTTAAAGGTATTTTTTAAGAAAACACTTATGAAAGTTAGGTATCTTTTTTAACAAAGAATTAACTGCTTTCATTTAAAATTAATATAAATATATTTTAAAATTAATATAAATATATTTTTGAATTTTATTTGAGAGAGTGAACACAGCCATATCTCTCTCTTTATTTGGTAGTGGTAGATCGCATTTGAATAAGCATTTGAGAATTTTGTTGGGAGTATTATTTTTAAACAACACTCAGCATAAGGAAAAAGAAATTTTTCTTATTGTTTGAGTTTTTGTTTATATTTTATGGATCTTGTTTATGCTTCCGCTCCACATTCATTTCAAAGTATTATGAAAGCATTTTTATCGTGGCATCAGTGATGATAATGTTCATACAAAAACTTTAAAATCCTGCTATTACCGAAAGATTCCACGCCCAAGTCTCTGTACAAAGCAAAAACAGAGAAAAGAAAAATGATTCTTATTCACATCCATATTTCCACAAGAAAAATTTGAAATATGGATACCATTTGTAAGAATTCATATTTACAAACGGGAAAAAATGTACGGAACAGAAGACCCAAAAGCAATGGAGCAAACTCATGCCAACACTTTTGACTGATTACTCATATCAAACAAAAGGTCTGATATTTGTCAGACTAAACCTAAAAAGACCTTGAAATAAATTTACTGATCTAAAATGAATGAGTGACTGATAATTAAATTTGAAGCATGGTTTCAATTGGCTAAAGAATTGGACCCAAAAAAAAAAAAAAATCAATAGTTTTAATGGAATGGTTCTGACTTGAGAAGAAAGATTTGGCAGGCTGGTTCGAATGAGATGTCTTTTAACATATTGTTAAGCCTCTCTTTAGCAGCAGCATCTTCTTTAAACTTCCTTTGAGCTAAATACATTTTCCACCAAGAAGGACTTCGGAGTTTGGCCTACAAAATTCACAAACAAATTGAAGCCTAATGATCATTGCATGAGTAAGTAAAATTCAACTACATGTGACACTCGGGAAATTTCGAGTATTGATTATCGAGAATGAAACACATGTTAAGGGCTGTTGGGAGGTAATCCCACGTTGGCAAATTTAGGGAATGATGATGGGTTTATAAGTAAGGAATATATCTCCATTCGTACTAGTGTTTTTGGGGAAGTCCAAAGCAAAGTCATGAGAACTTATGCTCAAAGTGAATAATATCATATCATTGGAGAGTCGTTATTCCTAACAAAATGTTGTCATGACATAGAACCAACCAAGTTGAAATTCAAATCATAAACCATTAACTACGTAGTAGATCTTCTAGAATTTGTTTGCTGTTTCTTGACCATTACATTTTATTTCAGAACATGCACCGTGAGTGAACAAAATGTGACAAATCAGTGATAGAATGACATCGAATCTTCGCACCGTCGCAGTGTATGTTCATTCGACATTTAAAACTTAGTGTTTCAAACTAAAATGTCCAACAATCAAAGAGGATTAGACTTAAAGTTCCATAATTCTAACCTGGCGGTTGTATCTGGATCTGTTGAATTTCGAAACTGGAAAATCTGGATGACCTGCATAGGATAGAAAATGAGACGAATGAGAAGTATAGCAGTAACATTGAAGACCCAGGACATGCAGTTTGAAACTAAAAAACATTAGAAATAATGATATATCCGACTCTGAGTTCAAGCATTTTTAATCTCTAGAAAACAAAACTGTAATGAAGGATTTACCTGCAAATATGACAATACCATCTCTAGATACCCTCATAAACTCGGGAATTGTTTCGTTAAGGTATCTTGAAGACATATATTCCAAAGTATCTGAAACTATAACATGAGAAAATGATTTCTCCCTATAAGGCAGCGGAAATTTCATATCAGAAACATGGACAATTTCTCTCTCAATGAGATCCCAGCAGCACGAATCAGCACCATCGGTGTCATATGGATCCATACCCCAATCTACATAATCATCCTTGTCTTCGAGCAATTCGGGCATCACTGAACCAGTATCAGGGCCAACATATAACACTTTGTTCATGTTATAGTCATATACTTCCTTTAACAATGTTATTATTGTTTGAACTTCCGAAGTGCAAAATGTATGACCTGCCATTATGATCTAGCAATATTAAATACCTGAGAGATTCCTTGTCAAAGAACATGGGTGATCGTTTCTGTACGTGTTGTATACGCTGGCAGATTCATGAATATATTCAATCGTTTCCTTCAAAAACTTCGGTTATAAATTGTTTTCCACTCATGAGGTTCTTTTCTTCTGTACTTTTAGTTCTTTCTAAATTAATAAAAAGAAATTTATAAATGAGAATGATCAAGAACACTAGCAGTACATTGGTGTACATGGACCTTTATGGTAATTCTCAAGTGGCCTAGTCTAATTTCCAAATCCATGAAGAAAATTCAGCTGTCTAACTTTAGCAAGCTCAAGGTTGCAAATGTTCAAACAAATAACGGAATACCAAATAAGCAATTGTATCACCTACAAACAATGATAATCTAATATTCTTTTTCTACCATGGGCCGAGCTATAGATTGTTGAGAGACCAACTGGGAGTAGAGGAGTTAGTCCAAATCTCAGTGATATATGAAACGAAGGCAATGTTATTTATTCTGATATGACCTACGCAAAGTGCTCCTTGTCCATATAGAACTTAAAACAAAGTCGTCATTAACAAATTGATCAATTATGAGGAATTCCAGACGAATTACAAAATTTATACCACTAATATGGAACAGGAATTCTGGTTCAAGACGGTCAAAATCCAATTTGTCAATTTTAACCAAGCTTGATTGATGACTGAATTATATTCTCAGTGAAGCAATGCTGCAATGTTATTGTACTAATTATTAAAAGTCGTTGTAGTGACTTCGTAAAGATAAGACAGAATACCTTCAACGTCATTCTCAACATCTGTGATACTTCCCTGCCCACCTACCATGCGAAGATAAAGAATAAGAAATTAGATGCGCATATTCAGATTAAGAATAGAAAATATTATATAACAGTGAAGACAATTTGAAATTAGAAGTTCAAAACAAAAAAAAAATTGAGAAGAAAAGAACTTGGATATCAAGCAAAAAGGAAAACAAATTTGAGAAGAAAAGAATTTGGTTATCAGAAAAAAGATAAAAGCCTTGTTTATTTGTTTTTTTTTTTTTTTTTTTCTCGTCTTTGCTAAAGTCTCTTATCTCTATACTTTCGGACTTGCCCTATTTTGGTCCCAAATACCTTTTTTAAAAAAAGAGAACTATTTTGTCCCTTGTTAATTTGTCTCCAATGGCTACCTCGGCTAACTTATGTGACTTCAATTCATGTCTATGTCAACAAGTTAAATTCATTTGATAAACAATTTTTGTGAATGTAACAATGAGCAAAATTTCTATATTTTGAAAGATAAAAAACAAAAATATACATTTAAAAATTCGAAATCTAAAACGAATATTAAACCGTTGCTTCATCGTGTAGGCATCCAGCCAACTTAATTAACTTAGCTACTGTCCCTCCGAGTTTAGTAACAAATACGAACCTGATGCATGATGGAGATATCCTATAAAAACGATTGCCTGAAAATTACAGAAAACATGCAAGTAAGATTTACGACCTGAATTCGATATTTTCCAGAATTAAACAAAAAAAGAAATCACAATTCAATAAATATATGTTTTGATAACGTGATTCAATTATAGTAATCGAAAAGGGAACATTATGTTTGCATTGAAAGAAAGGGGAAGAGAAGAGGTATAATCGTAAAAGGAAGTACCATCGTCAGAAGACATAGGAATGATAAAATTGACAGTAGTGAATTTATGTATTGATTAGCGCCACGAGCAACATAGCGATTTACTCGATTTTGCCTCATTAACACCATAGTCATTGGCATAGAAACTTCAAAGCCGCTCATGACTGAGTTAGAACCCTGTGTGAAATAGTTTCCAGTATCAAAATAACTTGAATTTCTGTAGGATCATCACTTCAAAGCTAATGAGAACAATATTCTTCACTGATTCATATATCATATGCACCTCCTACTCCTCTACTATATTTATTTCACACGATTCAAATAAGCTGGAGTGATATACTGATCCTACCACACCAATTAAATGCGATGTATATATCAATTTACGATGATACAATCAAAGGAACAACAAATTTTTAGAGTCATTAGCTTAAAAACAAAAGAAAAACAGCACAGTGGATACTGAAATTCATCACATTGAGTCGTAGCCGAGAAACTCAACCACATTCCAAATTCAAAATCTGCTATAATTAAATACGAAAGCGATCACACTAAATTTCGAGCAAATAGAGCACAATCGCAACAATGCATCCACTGTTCGCTATTATAACCAGAACACATCCACTACCAATCACTACCAACTCTAAACACACAAATGAATACTTTGGAAGCAAAAGAATAGTGATTCGAGTTTATGAAATCCTAGAAAGTAAAGAAACAGTAAACAATCGAAACGAAAGAATTGCAGAATTACGAGGAAGCGGATAGCGTGTTACCGGAAGCGAAGAAAACTGCAAAACTTCGGGACTCCCTTCCCGATTAGAACACGCTTCGAATCTTTGAAGGACTGATTGAACTTTTTGGCTCTCGAAGAAACAGAGCGCTGTTGAGAGAGAGGAGTAGAGGTTAGTCAAATAAATGGGCTCCTTTTATACCTTACCCTTCCGTGCGCTGGTACCGAAAAAAAATAACAAATAAAAATTTAAAATAATTTAGCAAAAAAATATTCGCTGCATAAGTTAAACTAAACCTTTGGTTTAAATCATAATGGTTGTTGAGATTTATTTAAGTAGATTTTTTTTTTTATTTAAATGCTTACAAATATAACAATTTAATACGTGAATTGTAGAAAAAATAGACAATAAATTAAAAAATAGTGGATCGTATATCTAGATTTCGAATAAGCAAAAAATAATAATAATAATAATAATAAATAATATTTAAATTGTAAATTTTAAAAAATAAATCTCCATTGAATTTTATTTAATTTAATATTTTAAAATTTTAAAATAATATTATGACTGATTTTAGTGCTATAGAAAAAAGGAATGAGTCGCCCGACCTGCGATAGGAGTTTTATTTTTTGATTATGATGTGTGCTAAGACATTGTGATTTGCTTCACCCTACAATTTCTAATTTGGGTTTCAAATGGGTTTAACGCTCAATGTTGAAGAACTCCAAAATCCAACCAGACACTTCGACTAAAGTCTGTCAATATCGACATTTTATGACTTTTAAAGATGCGGAATTCAAAAAATTAAAGAGGAAGAAACTTTTTTTATAAAGATTTAAAGACGTTTAATTTAAGATTTAATGTGTATTTTTTTTTAATAAAGTGAATTTATTTTTTTAAATTTTAAAGGCATTACTAAAATATTTTAAAGTTAATAAGGATATTTTTGAAAAAAAAAAGTAATTATTGGGAGTTGTAGGTAATTTTTTAAACCAATTAAAAATGAGGTATTTTTATTAATTAGTTTTATTTTTTTTTTAATAACCAAATTTAGGGTTTCAGTTGTTTAAAAAAACTGGCCACTTCCACGGCGACATCATCTCACTGAATACGTTTGGTACTGGAAAAAATGGCGGCTACACACAGCTTATCCTCTGCTGCACTCTCATCGTCTTCCTCTTCCTTTTTCTCGCACTCCAGTTTCAATGCCAAGTACTTTCTCTGTCACTTCATTTTCGTTTTGAGTGGTTTTTCGTTGGAACTGGAACTTCTGCATGTCTCGTTTTGTCGCATAAGAATCATCGAAATTAACTAGTTTATTCTCCAGGAATCCGAAGGTATCATTTCCAGGAACAAGGTTCCGCGTCAAGTGTGTTGCAACGTCTCAAGATTCTATGACAGGTATTGCGGAAATTACAGATTGTGTTTGAAGATATAGAATATGAATCTTCAATTTTAAACTTTTCGTACATTATCGGTTGAAGAAAGTAATGATATCCATACTTCGATGATATCTGCAAAAATGAGAACTTATCTGCTTCTTCATCTTCTTATTGGCGTTCTTTTGTTGTTTTTTTTTTTGTTTTTGTTTTTTGTTCTTAAGCCTACAAAACATCGGTCCCTCGAAATGCGAACATGGCCAAACTTCAAGCTGGATACCTTTTTCCCGAGGTGTGTAGTGTATTTTGCTCAAGGTCTTAGTTCATGCTATTGATGAATTTCCATGCTTGAGCTTTTTAGTTTTATTTTCATCTTGAAATTTCGATATCATCGCTTTGTATTAATTTTAGCGGTAATAGTGTATATGCGTATATATTATAATAGATTGCAAGGAGAAGGAATGCGCACTTGCAGAAGTATCCTGATGCGAAAGTAATTAGCCTTGGAATTGGTGACACTACTGAGCCTATTCCTGAGGTTATTACATCGGCCATGGCAAAGGTATAAATAATTTACTGCTTCTGGTTCTTGTAACTCGCAAATCATAACAGGTGTAGGAATAATGAGCCATCTCTGTCGAGAAACAGTAGTTGATCTAGGATATTAGCTGAAGTTGAATTTTGTTATATTGTATGAGAAGGAGAGTTGGTCAGAATCGTTAAAATATTTTACTTAATATCATATGAAAATATAGACCTTGCGTTGATCAGTGTCCTGTCTTTCGTATGGTCTGATCATTTTTATTTTGGATAAACTCGTCTCTTCTGCTGTCGGGATTCGGCTTACTAGGGTAGTGTTACTGCCATCTCCTTCCTAGTGAAATCAGTCATTTTTTCTTACATATTTGCATGTAATTTTTTGTCTCGTTCAATTGAATTTATTACGTGATTCAGACACTCCTTATGGAAGTTTAGTTTGTATGAAATAAAACTATTCTATGGTGTCCAATTCACCCATTACATTTTTCTTCCAACTGTTTGCACTTAATTGGAAGGTCTCCCTGGAGTTGTTTTCATGCCAGAAGATCATAAACCTCATATTACTTGATTTTTTTTAGCTAAAAAACTGTTTATAACTTAGTCATTTATGACGAATCTGTTTCGTTCTTTGGCAGAGATCACATGCATTGTCCACACTAGAGGGTTACAGTGGCTATGGGGCTGAGCAGGGCGAAAAGGTATGCAATTCAGTCCCGACAAACTTTGTTACTCCTGCTAGCCTTTTGAAGTGAAGTTGTGCATTTGGCATCTTGATTGAAGTTTCTGATATTTGGAAAGGGTTCTCTAACGAGTGATCTTCCTAATGGGTGAATTTTGTGTAGAAATAGTGAGAAGCCTAGCCACTCTTTTGTACACTGTAACACCCCTAGCATAAGGTATTACTGTACTTTTGCTTCAAATTCATGGGATTGCATCTTTTAGTTTGGCATGTTGTAGAACCAACTTTTATCAGTAATGGACTTCATCCAACAAAACCTTGGGGGCCATACGCTTACCAGAAGAGCTAAGGTCTTGTGACAAAGTGCTATTTTGGTCTTTATAACCCATGGAAGGAAACATAATAGGAGAGTGTTATTCGATTCTTATAAGACTTGGGAGAGATCTTCGATTTAGATTCTTACAGTACTTTGACGGGTGGTCAGTTGATTAAAAAATTGCTACAACCACTCTCCCCTTTTCGTTTGTATCAATTGGAGCACACTTTTTTTTTTTTTTTTTTTTTTTTTTTTTTTTTTTTTTTTTTTTTTTTTTTTTTTTTTTTTTGCAAGTATGCCTTTGGGCTTCGGCGCATTTTTGGGTAGGTTGTACTTTTTCATGTTCATCTTAATTTGAACTTATCTGTTTCTATTTATAATAAAATTATAGCATGATCAAATACGATACACAGATTTTATATTGTGAAAGGTTCCCTCAACATTTTGCCGGCACCTTCAACAGTTTTACCACTTGGTTTTGGCGTACGTCCGACAACAGTTTTCTCTATTTGATATGCCTCTTCCGTCAAGCATGTGCCTTCCGGCAATGATTTAAAAAAAAAATTTTTTTGCTACCTAGCTTGTATAGTTTCAAATTAATATGCTGTCAGTAACTGGTTTACACTTTGCGAAGTATAGTAGCTGCCTTATTGTGTTAACAAGTGTTTTCCATCATTTTTGCATTGACCTGATGACTTGACTTCTTTTAGGTCATTTCTTTACAAGATTGGTAGTTCTAATTTAGATGCTTATTTGTACAGCCAGTGAGAGCTTTAATTGGCAAAACATTTTATAGCGGCCTTGGCATAGAAGAAGATGATATCTTTGTTTCTGATGGTGCAAAATGTGACATAACACGTCTTCAGGTATGGTTTGTTTTAGTTTGGAAAAAAATTCATCTGTTAAATCTATCTATTTTCAACGTATTTGTTTTTTTTTTTCCCTTTAATGTTGATCATCAAACTTAGCTAAAATGTAAGATAGCATGGGTAATCATCTGTGTCGTAACTTGGGTAATCATCTATGTGTCTGCCATCTTGTTACTATCTAACTTCTCTTCCCACTTTTGGCAGCTTGTTTTTGGCTCCAACGTGTCAATGGCAGTGCAAGATCCATCATACCCGGTGATTGCTCTTCTCATTAACAAACTTTTAGATATTTAACTGGTGCACTTGTAACATTTTGCCAATCCACTTCTATATGAACTTTTTACCTACTTCTGCAGATTTAATTTATAATCAAGAATTTTGTTGAACTGTAGGCTTATGTGGACTCGAGCGTCATCTTGGGGCAGACTGGACAGTACGAAAAGGATGCTGAAAAGTATAGCAATATTGAATACATGAGATGTACTCCAGAAAATGGATTTTTTCCGGATTTAACTAAGATTCCCCGAACAGATATCATTTTTTTCTGTTCACCAAACAATCCTACTGGCTCTTCCGCAACCAGGGAACAGTTAACCCAGCTGGTGCAGTTTGCTAAAAAGAATGGGTCAATTATAGTCTATGATTCTGCATATGCAATGTATATATCAGACGATAATCCAAGATCTATCTTTGAAATTCCTGGAGCGAAGGAGGTAAATTTCGTCAAGATTACTTTTTCAATGTCTGCACTTGGCAATTTCATTCTGATTGCAAATTCCATCACAATACATTTGTGTCGAAGTTTTGAATCTTTCAAATACGTATCTCTAGTTCCTCTATTGTTATATACAGCTCCACTATATTGTTTGGATTCTCCTTTTAGATCTTGTGATGGTCTGGTCTCATCCTTTGATTCCAATTTTATCATTCCGAACAGGCCTAATAATTGTGTACATACCCGAATTATTTAGTGCAAGAATAATCAAACGGCGGAGTTCTCTTTCTAAAAATGAAATTATTTTACTATCCTTGAAAATCAAAAGCTATTGGATCCTACCATCCACATATGTTCTTAGCATATCTGCAGGCTGCAGCAAATTCGCAATTCTTTATGAGAACATGTAGAAGAACAAGCTCGTTAGTTAAATGTAGGAATAGCAGCAGAAGACTTTCCTGTCAAGGCACTTTTGCTAGAATCTCTCTCCGAACGGAAACATTAATGTACAAAGGATTAGTGGAGAATGGAGATGATGATATAGTAGGAAGTCAATTATATCTCACTTGGAATTATGTAGCAATTTGATATTTAGCTTATCATTTATATTAGATGATACTAATTATTTACTTTCGTATTTGTTGAGGAACGATAGGCAATTTATGTTTTATGTTGTATGATCTATTTTTCTGTTGTGCAGGTTGCAATTGAGACATCATCATTTAGCAAGTATGCTGGATTTACTGGAGTTCGTCTTGGTTGGACAGTTGTTCCAAAGGAGCTTATGTTTTCTGATGGATTTCCCGTTGCTAAAGATTTCAACCGCATAGTTTGCACTTGCTTCAACGGCGCATCCAACATTGCCCAAGCTGGGGGTTTGGCTTGTCTTTCGCCAGAAGGGCTTGAGGTCTGCTATTTACAGTTTTCTCATTTTTTTAATAAATATAAACGTGTACAGTAACCTTAATCCCCTGAAATACGGTGAATAATTTGGAGCACTTCATTTGAACATAGTGCAATTTGTATTTGATGTCCACACAACAAAATTACATAGGAAATCATGGAATTTATCAACTTCTACTTGCAGGCTATGCGCGGGGTTATTGGTTTTTACAAAGAAAACACCAGTATCATTATGGACACATTCAACTCGCTTGGGTTTAATGTGTATGGAGGGAAAAATGCACCGTATGTGTGGGTTCGTTTCCCTGGCCGGAGTTCGTGGGATGTATTTGCTGAGATACTAGAGAAAACACATGTCGTGACAACCCCTGGAAGCGGTTTCGGACCTGGTGGCGAAGGATTTATCAGGGTAAGTGCTTTTGGTCACAGAGAGAATGTCTTGGAAGCTTGCAGAAGATTCAGGCAGCTATACAAGTGAAAGAAGAGGAGAAGCGATGCAGGTGGATGAGATTTAAATCTCAGGTGCCATCCTTCTATTCTTCAACTCTTGGAATTATGTACTACATGTTTTTGACATTTGCCTTTGGCATTTCATTTTCATTTGAAATGTACAAAAGCATTCCAGTTGTAGCTTGAGGCGTTTCTGTGTGTTGGAGGATTTCGGTCGGTTTTCATCTAAGCAAATAGTGACGACGCCTGTTGCATTTGAGGTCTGTATGAAGTCTTATCTCTTTAAATCAATAAATTTAAATGCTACCATTTGACCAATTAGCTCTGATTTGATGAATACTTGAGTTCCGTTGAATTCCTTGTTAACACATGCCCCATTGATTGAGGACTTGGATATTGGAATGTTGGGAGGTACGGGGTCACTTAGGTCTTGGAGGTCTGGACCTGTTTTTCATGACAAAATAGGGCGATTGGGTGTGAGTTTTGGACCTATTTCTTCCTTGATTTATTGTATAGTTCGACATATGGGGTGGGAGATTTAAGCACGGTCGAGGTCATGTCATTTTCTTTAACCAATCGAACTACATGTTCAAACACGTAGTCTTCTAGTCCGCCTTGTTCTTCCCTTTTCATCCTTCTTTCATTATTATCATTCTTACCCCTTCGGTTTCTTTGGTCGCATTGGTCGAGATAAAATTAGTGTTAAGGTAAAATTAGTGTTAAGGGCGCCCCAAGGTAGTGTAACAACTTAAGAATGTGCTTACCGTCATCCATAGGAGAGTTTCATCGTGTTTTTCCATTCAAGTCTTTCATAAATTAGTTATCTGTCTTAAGCATATGCTTCCCAGTAACCAAAAATCGTAGAGCATCTCTCTATAAAAGCATAGATATCTATTCTCCATGAGGCAGGCAATGGCTGCAACAGCATGAGAGCAATGTATTCCATAAAGCTGCAATCACTTTCGAATATTGACTGTGTGATTTCTCAGCTGATAAAACCTCAAACTCTACATTATCTGATTGAAGAACTTGATACGATGAGGCAAATGTCATATGTTTCAAACTAAGATTGCAGTTAAATTCTTCTAAACAAACAAACAAATATCTTATACACCAATGAATTTGAGTTAACCAACCGTACCTAGTCCTGTTCTTTAAATATAGGGTGAGCTACATTTATCAATCGGCCCTAGTTTTTTTGCTAGCCAATTATACGTAGTCTAGTTTTTTTAAATACACATACGTCCTAACCGTGTTAAAAGAACATACTTACAAAAGAACAGCTGTGAAAAAACTATGCAAACCCCAGCAGTCCACGAGCATGGAGTTAGAGAAACCAAATTTATGGTTGGGAAGAAGATTCAGCGATATTAATCAACTTTTCTTCGAGCAACGGTGTCGTGCTTGACTGATTCATTGTAGAATCTTCGTGATGATCGTTGTCATCCAATGACTTTACACTGGGTAGAAATACACCTGCCAGTGCAAACAAGTTGAAGTTCATGAGAAATGTCCCTTTTTATTCTTTCATTTTTCCTTGCGAAAATTATTATTTTAAAATAATAATTAATTAAATTTCTTGTACAAAAAATCATAACATTACTTGAATGGGATCTGTTCTCTATAGGTCATATACTACTGTGTCCTTCAGCTCTAAAAAAATTTCTTCCACAAAAAATCCCTTAATTTCAATCAACATATTGGCCCACCATACAAATTTGACATTCTTAAAAATCTATGCAACAATTTCTTCCAAAATTTAGGTGCCAAAGCATCAAGATTGCTAGAGGTACCCAATTATTATGCAACATCTACAGAAACAAGCTGCCCTAACCATGTAACACAATCATATCCAATACTATGAAACACTTCCCATAATTTTATGCTAAATATCATAGACTAGTGACCGTATTAAAATGATATGTTGAATATAATTGTAGTATCTAAAAAATTTCATCTACCATTGAAGGGGTCAATGTAAATAGCTTAAAATAATAAACGAAATAAAAGCTTACCTGCAAACCATATTAGAGCTGCTGGAAACAAGATAGCTGTAAGAATAAGAGAAGTCACCCTCCAGTTGTTAACATGGTCCTGCACAATCGTAAGAACACCATTTGAGACTTCAAGTTATCAGAAGAACTTAAGAGTTTAAGGTCATGTTTTATAACTATCTGATTAAAAAAAATTGTGTTGGTTTTCTTATCCATTTCTTTACGACAAGTTTCATCCTTCTTATGAAAACATTTGAATTCTTACCCAAATTCTAAGAACAAAAACATACTTTTTTAGCTTTTAAAACTTTGGAGGAAAAAAAAAAATAACAAAACAAAAAAACTCAAAAGGGAAAGTAGTATAGGCTTAATTTTCAAAAATCAAATAGTTATCAAGACTTTGTTTTTCTTTAAAAAAAAAAAAAAAAAAAAAATTAAGCTTATAAATACTACTTTCAATTATGAGTTTTTCCTTTTGTTTTGTTATCTACTTTTTTTATATTTGTTTTAAAAACCCGGTGAAGTTTGAAATCTAAAAGAAGTAATTTTTTAAAAATAGTTAAGAATACAAATATTTATTTAAGAAAGATGATACTAAAAATAAAAAAAAAAGTTACCAAACAGTGCCTAAAATATTCACTATTTAAAAATGCAAGATGTGTATCCTAATCTACCTACTGAACTCTTTATTCTTTAGGGTGAGTTTTAGATAACTTTTTTAAAATAATGCGTTCTTTTTTTCTTTTTTAATGCTTTAGAGTGAAACACAAGTTCGACAAAATGATTAAGGATTTCTTCCGGTTAGCTGGATGATTGTAAAAATGCAATCCCTATTCCCAAGTGGCTTTGAAGGTATCCAAAAGAATCTGAGGCATTTTGGCACAAATAACTGTGAGCCATGGCTAAGATTTCTTTGGTTTTTCATTAGTGCATGCAGCTATACCACTTCAAAAAATAAAGAAAACCCATGGAAGTCAATTGCCAAAATTTTCCTGCGTTTACAAGTTCCTCGTGTTTAAGTTGGGAGATGGAGCAACCATGCTATTTTGGGAAGATTTTTGGTGTTCTGTTCTATTACATATCTCATTATGTTCCCTGATCTTTATGCTTTAGCAAACTAAAGGTTTTTCAGTTCAATTTATGTGGAATAGTGGCACAACTAGCTAGAACTTTTGGTTTGGGACGGAACTTGATGAATGAATAGGTGGAGGGGCTGCCTCTTGCAATATTTTGAATTATGCCCACCCTCTAGAGATAAAGATTATAGATAGTATGGCCTTAAAATTCCAATGTCTTTACTGTTCCTCGTATATTAAACCGATTGCAAGAAAAGATGGTCGTAATGAAGATCTTTGTATGAGAATTTGGGGGATCAAAGTTGTAAATGTAAGGTTCTTCTTTGTACGGCTCTTGTTGACCCAGCACTCTCTCACGAGCACCCTCAAGGCTTAAGAACTTTTAACCCAAGACACTTAAGTTCACCCCATCACACTATATTTTCTAAATTGGCTTGGAGAAAAACTAACAGGAAAAGGCACCCTATTGTGTTGCAGAACTTGTCATAACATGAAGTCCAACCGAAACAAGTACACAGCTAAAACGTCTTTATTACTGAGTAGTTCAAAAAGATGAAATAAGATTCAAAGTGGAAGGAAAAATGAAAACCTGAAGAACTCCGACAAGAGGCGAGGATGGCACGTCTCCAAAGATGTGGATTGCAACAGTAGACATGGCCATAGATAGTGGCCTTAGACTTGGTTTAACGGCCTCCAGATTAATATAATTTACAGGACCCTGGAAAAGATAAAAGTTCATGACAACTCCAAATACTGGGATAAAGAAGTGTAATGATACGGGGGTTGTGACAAATAAATTATATACTCAATCATAAGATTAAAAGACAACAAAATAAGGTGGCTCAGAAAGAAAAGCATTGTCATGGCCCCCTCCTTCTCAATAGATTTCACATTTCTCGTAATTACCGGTGAAATATCCCAAGTTAATTTGTTAGAAAGTTTGCTTACATGGCTTTCCCTTTCAATTTCTTTTTTCAGTTATAATCCCTTTAATTATAAGTTATAATTGGAGATCTAAGTCTAGGTCAGCAAGTGTTGTGGGTACACACGTTTGGGTATAGTTTGTGAATTTATGACTGGTTTTCTTTGTTATCCATAGTTTAAATTGAGATTTGTGAGTTTTATTTCTTTCTTCAATATGAATCAAACTTTTCTCTACATAATGAGTTTCCTTCACATAAGAGTTTGCTTACAGAATTTGGGACCACAAAGCAAGAAATTATGTACTCTTGAATTAAAGTTCCAATTTAAGTCCCACAGAAGCCTCCTTTGCAATTAAAGAAATTCAGATACCATTTCCGTAAGTTATTGCAGAATTTCATTAAGAGAAACTAGTGTAGAAAAGGGATGATGAGAAATCAACCAAGAAAAATTTGGGGAAGAACGATCTATTACCTGAATAGCAAAAACGAATAGTTCACCAATTGAAAATAGGGCTAGGTAAATGTAAACACTCTCAAAACAGAAGGCACTGAAGCAAAGTATTGCCCCGACAAAGGTTGTTACAGAGAGAAGCTGCAGCACAATTTGAGTGAGAAAGTCAGATTAAGATTGACATCCATGTTTATAAAATGGAATGAAAAAAAATTCATAGGTTGATAGCAGGTTAGATTTGAGAAAACATCAGGAATCCCCAGAGATTTCTCAACTTGGTGAATCGACAATATTGGTGGACACCATTACTAGCATACCTCACTAAGAACTTTATGTACATTTTCCCAATGTATAAGACACAGCAATTAAAGGGATGGAATATGAAAAAGATGGAAAAAAAAAAAAAAAGAAGCAAATTCTTCCTCGTGCCACTATAGTATAAAGTATGATCAGTTCATTCTAAAACTTCTTGAGAAAGCTATGCAATCATGGGAAAAGATTGTAACGTGTGGATCCATAATCACAATTCACACAAAAGCCAACCTTGAAACCATTTGAAATGGTGTTACTCATAAAGTCCAGAACATAGCCTCCTCCTAGTGTGCCCAATATTCCAGATACCACCGTTATTCCTCCAAACACCAAGTCAGCATTGCTCTGCAAAAGATCCCAACTTTATCTACACAAATCTTGCAAGTGCAAAAGTTCTAGCGATCTCACATATAAGAAAATGGTTGATTAACTATAAGAAAATCTCACCAGATGATAGATACTGTAACCAGCTTTAGGTCCCCAGTATGAATACGCGCCTAAGACAAAATTGTATGCCATATAACCTAAAATAGAAACTCCAAGCCCTCAGAAAACAGGGGACAATGTCGCACAAACTCCTAGTCATTACATTCACAGTAAATGGAAATGGGTTTAGAGCAGGTGAACAAGATACCTAAAACGTTAATAACATAAACCTTATTGACCAAGAGTTCTTTCATTTCTTTCCCAAATTTTGAGAGCTGATTCCTCCCATTAGTAGCAAAGCTGTTACAAATTAAGAATAGGTGAAATCAATACACAGCTTAACAATTGTAATGTGGAAATCCTACCGCTGCATGGCATGCTATTGCTATGCTATTAAGGGGAGATTATATCAGGTGAGTAATAAATATTTTTAATAAATTCATTTTGAAAAGATGACAATGTAGTTTAAAAGAAAATGATGAATAATTTGATCATTTACTAATAACCTCTGCTTGGTTGTCATCTGTCTCGATCAAAATGATAAGAAATTGTTAGAAGAATATTGCACAAAATCACATTCAAAGGGGGAACTAAATCTTCCCACTCAATCAGAATGAACTGTACCGCAATGGAAGATGAGACAAGAAATCTACATAACTTCAATATGTGATGCAAAATCATACATTTTCAATTGGAAGACAAGAAAATACTATTCATTTTTTATTTTGTAATTTTGTAGCCAATGTATGGAAGAGGCTTCACAATAGGTTTCATTCTAATTCAATACTTGATTATAAGTTCCATACTTTTTAGTTCCATTTGAGGCTCTGATCATATGGGTGGGACTTTGGAATGTAAACTACCAGTATCACGGATATTTTTGGGAAACATGGTTAGAAAGAAAAACAGAGCATGTTATCTATCTTCAGATTGTTCGATTATTCGGAGATCAATATCTCAAGTCTTCTGTTCGGGCTTTATTGGCAATGGACACAAGGTTACTGCCAAAGTACCCTTGTTTCTGAAATGAAATGATTGGAAAGCCTTTTTCTTGTAATAATGCTATCAACTTTCAAGGCACTAGAGGTCAGATCCAGCCCCATTCTTCATATATTTATTTCTTTAACAAAGTGTTCACATAAAAAAGGACCATGTACTTAGTGTGAAGTTCCATTAGGACTTCGCCAACAAAATTTGAAGTCCAATCTCTAGGCATTTACTATTTGTTACTTTCAAGAATAATTATATGATAAAATATTAGAATATGTAGGTTAACAATAAAAAGAATGTCCCTTAACTTCTAAGAATAATCAGAAACTCTAAGTTCACCGAAAGATAAGAAAATATATTCACTTCAGCACAAGAAGACTCATGATGATTTGCAATCTGAAGTTACTTATAGAAAAAAGTGTATTTGCCTTTGGCGAAATAAGAACACCTCCGTGGGTCACAGGTTAGACAAATGGAAGTGTCTATGTTTCACTGAGCTACCAGATGCCAAACTCTAGCAATCCTCCTTACCTGGAAGATTTCACTGAGCTATCTTCAGCAATGGAGAATGCACCACCGTTGCCATTTGAAGCTTCCGTCTCTGAGTTCATAGACATGTAAAGCCAAATTAAGATGCAGGCAAAGAGATATTTTCGCTTTTACCAATTAATACGTGACAGTGATATTCTCAGCTAATTGAGCTAGAATCAAAAGTTAAGCAAAGAAAGCATCAATAATCAAGAGGTTTCTATCGTAGCAATACGTGCCTCATGTGAAGCAATAAGCGTAATCTGATAACAGAGTCCTCTGAAAAAGCATACTAATACTGAAAATCTACAAAACAAAAGTCAAAACTTCCATCTTTGGAATACTATTATAAAGCTTCGAGAAATTACACAGAGGCTTTCAGGGCTCTAAGGTGGGAAACGGCATAAAAACTGGAAAGATGTTTGGGCTGGGACCAGCGGCTCAAATGTATGCTTCTGAGAATTCTTCACCTTTCATTATCCAAATGGCGAAGAAAATTGAAATCTCAATTTGCATGTTTTGGATGCAGGTTATCCTACCTCCAAACTCACAAAAACAAGTTGGAATCATAAAACTCCAAAGGTGAAGGTCTTCCCATAGTAGGTGGATAAACACAGGAGAATTGATACATACAAGATTCCCCAATAGGGCTCTCCATCCAAATTAGTTTCTTTTGTGTAAACGAAATGAAGTTAGGCACTATATTTTTTTTGCAGCTAGTTTAGCTCCTTGTGGGCTTTGAACGATAATATTAGGAGTTCATGTCAACTACCATGTGGTTCACATGCAGGAAAACACCCGGTTGATTGTTCTACGGATCTGGCTGGAGTTTATGAAAAAAGCCAAAGCCCTGGTCGGATTTCAACTGATGCTTTACCCTGGCGTACTCTACCATTGAGTTAAAAAAGCCTATTTTATTTAATTCAATTTTTGAATAAGCCACTAGCAATAAGGAGTCTAATGTATATAATTATTATAAATTACAAATAATAAGATATATATATTCTAATTATTATAAATTACAAATAATAAGATATGTACATAAATATATATTATTCACACGGTCGTTCATTCAGAAACAAAAAAAAAAAAATGAATTTACCTATTGATTAGAGTTAAAATGGATTTTTGATATTGGATTAGGTTTATTCAATGAATTGTTTCATCATAAGACCGACTCTAATTAAAATGATGAGCCACATCCCCACGAAATTTATTTGACTGATACATCTACATCTACATCTACAAATTGAACATCGATCCATTTACTGAATCATTGATAAATCAATTCGACTTAACGAGAAAAACAATTTTTGATAACTTGATCTCTTATCACTCTCTTCCCCAAATTTTCAAATTCATCGTTTTTTTAATTCTAGGACTTTGTGAGATAAAAATATATCTACCTAACCTAATCTTAACAATTAATGAATCAATGAGTGAAAGTATGAGAAATAGAGTTTTATCCCATGTTCCGATCACTTTCTCAAAGGTAATAGCCTACATATTATTTTTTATTTAATTTTTTTATTCTTTTCAAACATATATAGATATATATTCATTTAACATTTATGCAAATTATTTAAATTATTAAATCTAAATTTAAATAAATAAATAAAATGCAATTCAATTTAAAATAAAAGAACTTCTATATAAAATTATATGGGGAATGGTGAATTTGAATGAACAATTCAAAAATATGACAAATAAAAAATTCTATGGAATAATGAAAGATAGAAATATATTATATTGACAATTTCAAAAAACTTTTCATATGATGGCAGTTGGAAAAGTGTGTCCCCATCTTCTAGTGGTTCACATGCACGAAAACACCCAGTTGAAGGTAGTCTAAAGTCAATACACTATTTTCAGAGTTGTGGTTAGAAATTAATTACAGAATTGGAAGTTGTGATTAACAATCTGGAGATTGGGAGGAGACTCGGGCTCTCACAACAGTGATTTGAAGAACAATTCCATAATTCCTTCTTATAGAATTCTTAGCTGAGGTCATGTGCTTAAAGAGGATACGAGTATCTCTTTAATATTTTTTATATGTATCAAAGAAATGATTTAGAATCTTATTATATAGCTTAATAGAGTCCTGAAACGAAGTACCTTGAACTTCCGAGGCAACCAAATCCGCAGATCTCAGCTTTCCATATGATCCAGAAGGAGAAAATCCTGAACTTAAAGTCGTTTAGAAACCGTTAAGTTGCTTGAAGTCACAGTTCTGGACGTACCTTTCAGTTGCAAAGGCTTTATAACAAATCCCAGAATGACAAAGGGAAGCATCAAAATGGCCTCTCCAACAAATGCAATACGCCAATTATAATTACCTCCAACCTATACTTAGTGAAGAATATTATACGAGTGATCAAATAAAAACATGGATGCACACTTTATGGGAGACGTAAAAGAGAAACAGCATTAGGAATGATTTTTTTTTTTTTTTAATTCATTCAATATATTCATGAAGTTTAAAAGGAAAATGATGAGAAAAGAATTTACCAATCCACCAAAGATATAGCCAATTGCATACCCACTAGGTATACACATGTAAAATATTCCAAGCCAAGCTGATTTCTGGAAGGAAAAAGTAACCAAAAGTACAAAGAATTAACTAAGAAAATTAGAAGAAGCACTGATCCACTAACATTTTTAAATTTTACATTCTATGCTTGAGTTCCCAAATGAAATATCACAGTTTGATAAATTTAATGCCACTGATGTCCTATGAAACAGAAGAAGAGTATACCCGACTATCCATTATTATAGAACTTGAAAAATCACATTCTTGTGCTATAAACATGATGTCAGTATACAACACTTGCGAATTTGTATATCATAAGGGAAACACTAACGGGCACAAGCCAGAAATACAACAAATACATGAAAGGAATGTAACCTGAGAAGCAGGTGCATTATCATCAATGAACGGTGCAGCAAGACTTACAAATGATGCTTCACCAACACCAACCAACCTAAAGCAAGCAATGAAGTGCAAGAGCCAAAATTAAAACAAAAAAATAGCTCAAATTAAAGAAAATTCTTTACAATGCCAAAATCAATAACCAATCTGCAAAAAGTGGATTTGAAAAATAGAACACAAACGTGAAGGGAAGGAGGAAAGAGAAAAGAATATTACTCACATGCGGCATATTGAAATGGACCAGAAATTAAATGAAGCAGCACAGCCAATAACAGCAAAAGTCCAAACTGATAATCCAACCCCAATGAGCCTGAATGGGTTGATTCTGCCAAAAAGATAATAATAAAATAAAAGAATAAAGAAGAATAAGAAGAACACGCACACATGCACATAAAAAAAAAAATGTTCAATTTTTCTCCATTACCACAATGACACTGACATCATGCTCCAAAATTTTATCATATTCAGATACTTTAGTTCACTTTAACCTCAGAAAACAACCTCCTTTGAAAATTCACTGGCGTTTTTTCTTTGTGGTGGGGTCCAAATTGGTGAGTTCTCTATAAAAGTGCTATTGAGGACCTTCTTAATAAACTCAGGACCTGCCAATTTGCCCAGTCTGTTTGAGGCAGCTTTTCCAGTTGTTTGATGTTCGTTTGGCTAGGAATAGGGATTGCAATTCTATAGTGAAGAGGTTTCACAGCATCTACCTTTTCATGATGGGGGCCGGATTTCATGGCAGACTAGCTTTTTCGCAGTCCTTTGGGGCCTCTGGATCGAGTGACATGATAGAATTTTTAAGGATTGTGAGAGATCATGGGAGGAGAATTGGTTGCTTGTTATGCATAATGCTCTTTTCGTAATTATCTGCCAAGTCATATTATTTGAACTGAGGGATGTTTGTATAGCTAGTTGTTTGGCCTCCTCTTGGTGGGTTGTTCTTTCATATGCCCTTTTGTATTCTTTCATATTCTCTAGATGAAAGCTTGATTTCTCATTAAAAGTAACAATAACAATAATAATAAATACCTGGCTAAACCTTTAATTCTCGAAATTTTTTCAATTTTAATTCAACATGACGGGCGTTCGGGACTTTGAACCTCTGACCTCAAGGGAAGGAGTACATGCCGTTGAGCCAAACTTACTTTGGCAAAAATGAGCAACATATACAAATATATGAAATTCCTATCAGTTTAGAACATGCCTTGACTTACCGTTCTGCTAGTGTTGCAAATATTGGACAAGAAACTAGAAGTCCAACCATGAAACTTGAAGAAAGAACCCCATCCTCAAAATTGCTCAAGCTAAACTCACCTCTATAAATAATTTGACACAAAAAATAGTCAGGTACAGAAATAGTTTATGCCATCAGTCATATTAACATAAGATAATTTCACAACAACATTTAACATACAATGATGTCAACACCAGCAACCAATAGGGCCTACATGACATGAAAAAATAAATAGCTCAAAAAATGATTAGCGTCTTTCAGTTTCACAAATAACTAGCCCTTGGATGTCAACATTGCCTAGGAAATGTCTAAAGTGCAAATTGTTGTGCAAGTATGGAGCTAAATATTATATTTAGGAGACCAAGTTCTTCAGGAAATAATTCCCACATTTATTTATCATAATACTTTAAATCCAAAGACATATTCAGGCCTAAATTGATGACACAAGTATAGTTCTTTTTTAAAAATAAAAACATCGAATTTTTCATTGATTTAGAGAAAAACTTGCAGAAGTCTAAAACTCGCGGACCTCATTAAAAAAAAAAAAAAAAAATACTCCAATCTGAGTTAATAACAGAAATGATGTAGTTACAAAAAAAACTTTTCTACAGAGCACCAAAAAAAATGCATTAATCTAGATTTGTCAACCATTTCCAAATTCCTCCCAATTTTTTCCCTTGTTACTAAGATCCCATAGTTCCTCTCCAACCTAAATCTCCAATATCAGTGATTCAATAAGGTTTGGATATGAAAGCTCAAACTTCAAAATGTGTCGAGCCAAGGATGGAGCCATACGTTGGGGTGAGCAAGCCATAATTGTGGATTGACATTTATTTATTAACAAGCATCTCTACCAATTATATCGTTAACCGTAACTTTTTTTATGAGATACCTAACCATAATATAAAAATTCAATCAAATGAAACACAGTGCTAAAAAATCATCTAAAAGTAAAGAGCATAAAATAACAAATACTTGAATTACTCTTTATATATGGAATATTACATTTTTTTTACCTTATTAGTTGAAAATGAAGGCGAATTTACTAGTCCATTACATGATAAATTTATCCTACTTTTCTTATGTCTACAATTAAGTATATATAGGGACCAAATACACTTGTAGACTTAAAGAGAAAATTATCACGATAGAGAATGATATATTACTAGAAACTTTGTTTTTGTAAAAAAAAAAGATTACATGTAAACTTCTGCACAATTAAGCATGTGTGTGCCTAATGGCCCAAAATGAGTGTTCAAATCTGTTAATCCATGTAGGGTAGATTAACGAGTAATTCTTGCGATCTCATAACTTTAAAGATTTCTTAACGAGTTATAATTTGAGAATATTTGTTTTATTCTTTTTATATTCTAACTATTTTAAAATAGAAAGAAAATCATCATGGTAAATATCCAGCACCATTTATTTTGAAAGGCTTCTATATCTTACTGTATCCCGGTACCAGATGTGCAAGTACCACTTGCTGTGCAAGTTCCTTGACTTCCATTCACACCATTGCTAGCTATTGCTCCTCGATCTATGTAATTTAACAAGTTGATTACACAGAATATAGCAAGAAGCCTGTAGAGATTAAGAAATAAAAGAAAATTCTCAAGTTATCAATTTGCAGTACATGACACTTATTTATCCAAACTACTGGTAACTAAAAGTACAACACAAGACAATATGACATCATAAGCATGGCTCAAGTAGCATAAAACATATTGTTGAAAAAAAAAATGTACACAAGACAACATGCCTGACAATACACCAAGAGGTTAGAAGTCCAAATCTCCAATCACACATATTGTTAAAAGAAAAACACGAGACAATGGACTATAGGACGAGTCTGCACCCTAGTTAAAGTTAAATGAACTGATTACTGACTATAAAAAGGTCCAAAAAAAAAGTCCTGAAAACTTAAAAAATTAGTAGCATGACATAACTTTCACTTAATAGTTGAAGACGTTATATTAATCCTCTGGTCAGGAGTCTGGAGCCACTTCAGCTTCAAAAAGGCATAAAGATATCATTCTAACAATTGTACTTAATGGAGCCCACAGCATCCTAAAAGGTTGATACTCAAACCATTCTGGATAGTTTATAATTAATCCATTGTTCCCGTAACCAGTATGTAATATTTCAGCACTTCGACAACTATTACCAAAACCCTTATCTCCTATTAGCCCCAGACAAATGGATAGAATTTCCAATTAATCATAGTGCTAAAAGTAAGGATTAAAAACCAAGAGTCCAAGCATCTAGTAAAAGAAATGAAAGCATGATGACTTTGTTAACAAATACAATGAATATTCTCATTTATTCCCGAGTCCTTTCGTAGATTACACCAATAGGCAATAGTAATGCTTATTCAATGAGCACCATACTAAACAAAACCTGACTTGTTTCGGTAACTTTTTTCATATGAATCTGAATGTCATTAAATAATGCATGCTCGAAAGGAAAAGAAATCTCCCAATGAAGTTAAAAAAAGGTACTCCAAAGGGTAAAATTAACTAGATAAATGGAAAATATAATTAGTGAGGCTATACCAATTCGACCCTATGAACCTAGTTAAAGCAATAAATTCCTTTATGTTCCTATGCCTGTCTTTAAAAGTCTCCAAATTCTCTCCACTCATTCTTCCTACCATTGTCCCATAAGACCTGAGTCTTGGAACTAGTGACCACAGACGAGATGGAAGCCTATTGCAATCATTCGGGAAGCACCATTGCAAACAAAAGATATCCATTAATCAAAATGAAAACCAGAGGGGTGGACTGACAGCATGCGACTTTACAATATTACCATCCAACCAATTGAATTGCAGGTGATCTATGCTCGCAAGAAACGACCAGATATCAAGGGTTCCCGATTAAAGCGCTATTCCTCTTATTTTGCACATTGTTAGCTCGGCATTATTCCCTTAGAAAAACAAATGCATCTCGATTACACGAATAATTCCTATTTCAAGACAGAGATAAGTGATCAAATGTAGCACACGAAATATCCATTTATCTCCCGCAATTCATCGCTTTTTCCAGAAAGAAACAAGCAAACACCGATCATGAACATTCACAGACAAAATTCCCTAAGTAACTTAGTCAGATACCAAATGAACACTAACAAAACCATAAATCTCCGAGAAATAGTCTTATCCTAAACTGAATAACTTCCATTTAGAAGTCAACATGATAGATCAATCAATTTTGACTTCCTCCATTCAAATTGTACTTTCTCGCCAACCAAACAACCAATTGAATCTTAAAGCATCGCGAACAAATAGAAAATCACCTCTTGGGAGTGAACCAAGAAGGAGTGTCAGTAGCCGGAGCTCCTGCAGCGTCCATTTCCGCCATGATATGAAAATTTGCTCGTCGAATGAATCAGATCATCTTCCGGACCATAAAATATCTTCTAATATCCCAATTATATTATATATTATTGTTTTTTACTCCCAATTAATGCAACTTCTCTATAAAAAAAAATTAATCTGTTACCCATAATTTCTATTTTTTAGACTATTATTATTTAATTAAATTAAAAAAATACACTGTAAAATTAAATTAAATTAATATTGATGGCTTTTGACAAGTAAAAAATTGAGGATGAAAAGTTATAACCTCTTATTTGTATAATTTAATTTCTAAAAGTTATCTTTAGGGTGAATTTTCCCCGTTTTTGTGTTTTTTTTTTATTTACGAAGTATCAAATTTCAATAAATTTTATTATTCCAACCCACATTTAAAATTACAATTAAAACAATGATAAAACGAATAAATTTATATGTTCGGATAAAAAACAGAGTCTTATTTTAACTATTGATAAAATTTTGAAAGTTTATAGACTAAAATAGTGAATAAATTTATATATTCGGATAAAAAATAGAGTCTTATTTTAACTATTGATAAATTTTTTAAAGTTTATAGACTAAAATAGATAATCGAACTGTATTGCTACAACATGGGCTCCATATTTTTGTCACACCATCCTCTTTCCTTTCTTATTCCTCTCAAAATTTTCATTTCATCTCGGATAAATTAATAAAAATATTTATAAATAATGTATTTTATCTTTAAAATAATTTTAAACTTTCAAAATTTTCAATAATACCAATAAACATTAATTAATATATATATATATATATTATTGTTAATTTTATATGGAATCTTTATTTCTAAAATACTTTTAAACTTTTAATAGAGTTTTAAAAAGCAGTAAAAGGATGAAAATTATTTATTAATGTCAGTTATATATTTTTTTAATCTTACTTTTCAAAATTTACAATTTTTTTTAAATAAATAGGGTAAATGGTGAATATGTTGTTTTTCTGCTAATAAATTTAGAGGTTAAAGATACAAAATATTTGAAAATTTAAACGTATTTATATTAATTTAGCATATTTTTGCACAAAATTTACACGATCGAATTTGTCTACTATATATATATTAAATATTCTGTTAATATATATTTATTTTATGGATAATTTTTAAATATTTAAATAAGTTTGAATTAATATTTTTATTTATCATATAATTTTTAAGACACGTAATAATACTTAAGCACTCTCGTGACTTTTCTCTTTGTACTTCTACAAGAGTACTTATACCAATCTAGATAGTATTTCTCACTTATAAACTTATGATCTTCCATTAAATTAACCAATGTGGGACTTTTCTTTTCATCCAACACCTTCCTTCAACAAAGTACGTTTCCTCTTAATCGAGACTCGACTTTTTTTTCTTTTGGAGTCTTAGTTATTTTTTACTATTGACTAAGTTTAGGGCATGACTTTGATACTATGTTAGTTGAACACGACTCTCCACAATGGTATGATATAGTCCCTTTTGAACTTTGAGTATAAACTCTCATGGCTTTGATTTTGACTTTCCAAAAGACCTCGTATTAATGGCGATAATATTCATATAAATCTATAATTTTCCACTTAAGAAAGAGGAAGGTGGAAAGTGAGACTTTTCTTTTAATCCAACCATAAGAATAATTATTAATTTCAGTAGGTAAAAAAAATATAAAATATGTTAAAAATTTAATATTTAGATGTAAAATATAATTTAATAAGTAAAAGTCAATTTATTTAATGCTAACTATTTTTTTAATTAAAACGTTTTATGTCACAATTAAAACGTGTAATTTGATAACAATTTTGGTTGGTATAATATAAAAATGGTTGAAGGTTTTATTAAGAAAAAGTCATGAAAGTTACTAAAATATAGAAATTACTTGGAAGAGCGAAGGAGAAAGAACAGTCACGTGCGTAACTGTAGAAATGGGTAATGGTTCAGATCCAGAGTCCACACAGTTGGCGGATACGCCAATTCCCCAAACCCAATAAACAGATCTTGAACACAAAAAGGGCAACCAAATTCACCGATATTGATATTCGGATTATCGCTCCCATTGGTCAAACTCCCACTCGATTTCTTCCTTAATTCCTCTTCTCTTTCATCTCCCCCACCTCAATTCAGCAACTTCTTGCTGCTTTTTGATTCTCCTCCTCCATCGATTCTCTCGGTTAGCTTCCATTTTTGTGCTTTTGATTCTTGTTTTTTGCATCTTTAGTTTTGTTTGTTTCAGTTTGTGCTGAAATGTTGGGTGCTTCTGTTGGTTTTCGTGGAGTTTTGGCATTTATTATGATCTGTGGTTTTGTTTGTGTCGTGATTGATGTTGATCACGTGTTAGGTTTGATTTTTTAAAGTTCATGAACTAAACTTTTGATTGTTTTGAATATTTGTTTGGCTCTTAGCTAATGTAGTTATGTTTGTCGTAGATATGGAAAATGGTGCAGGCCTTAGTCTGTATCCACTGCATCGATGTAAAACGATTCACCTGGTTAGTATCGAATTTGAGAACTGCTTACTTTTATATCTAATGAGTATTGCAGATGTGAAGCAGATTTTATTTGACTTGAAGGGCATTCAAGATGGCCTTCTTTCTTGGCTTTTGCTCGCAAATCAAGGGCTCTTATAAAACAATGCATCCAGGTCAGGCATGCACAGGGGATTCACAACGTTGATGGAGAAAAGAGTTATAAAGCATATATGCGTCCTGAATTTTTTGATGCTCACATTACTCAGCTTGGATGGCAGCAGGTCTGCAAATGCAAATTGTAAAGAAGATAAAAGAAGAGTTCATGCTTTTTCCTGCAGAGAAGTACTAATATGATATCTTTCAATTGTTGCAGATCGATAATTTGCGTAAGCATGTTCATGAGTCTGGTCTCTCCAAGAGGATTGATTTGGTTGTAACATCCCCTTTGCTCAGGTATTAATGCCATACACTCTTTTATGCACAACTTTATGTAGAAAACCTTTTTTTCATGAACTTGCTCTTAGTCTAGGCAATAGTTTAAAAAGGATAGGAACATTAAACTATATAGAAATATTTTCTGTAACCAATACTTGTAATATCAGAAGACAACTACCTTTCATGCTTTGACAGTGCAAAAAAGAAGAAGAGATGAATGTGTTCGTGCCTCTTCCCATACAAAGCCAACGGTTGAATGTTTTAAATTCCTCAGAACCCAGTTTCTTCCTTTTCAATGCTTGATTTTAATTGTTACATTATGTATACTTTGCTGGGAAGTTGATATTAACCCAAGTTAGATCGCTAATGAATCATGTGCCAAAATGGAAAATATGAGGGATTTTGTTTATGGTCGATTATCTTCTAGGACTCTACAAACCGCTGTTGGAGTATTTGGTGGTGGAGGCTATACAACTGGAATGGACGTGTTGCCCCTAATGATTGCAAACGCAGGCAATAGTGCACGAGCTGCAATTTCAAGTCTGAACTGCCCACCTATTGCTGCTGCTGAGCTTTGTCGTGAACATTTGGTATGTGTTAGTTAAATTTAATTCTTCTCAGCTACATTTGTGTATGATGCAATTTGTGGAGGTAGATTGATTTGTGATTGAGAAGGTAAATGGCTTAAACGTGGTGCAGGGGGCTGTGGTTATTTGACTTTACTGATTCATATAGCCTTTTGTATGAGCTTGTTGTTCAATTCTACTGATGTTAGAAATCTACATATGCACCTTCTATGCAAGTCTGTCGAGCGTTGATTACTAATATATCATAACTTCAATTACCCTTAATTCTTATGAAGAAGCTATTTAGCTGATGCTTCTTATATTCGTTCTATGTTTATATTTGCTTTACATATCTTACAGGGAGTTCATCCTTGTGATAAGAGGAGAAGCATCAGTGACTATCAATTCCTCTTCCCTGCAGTTGATTTTTCACTGGCAAGTACATGAGATATTGTAATAACCTGTGGGAATTTTTTTATTTTTATAATCTTCAAGAAGCGTTTGATCTCATTTTAAGCTTCTCAATTCCCAGAAATTGTAACATTGATTGATGAGTTATGTTTGTTGATTAACACCCAAAGTTCTATGCAGATAGAAAGTGACGAGGATGTATTGTGGAAGGCTGATGTTAGAGAGACAAGGGAAGAACTGATAGCTAGAGGATTGGAGTTCCTGAATTGGTGAATATTTTGTTTATTATAGTTTCTTATTTTTACACTGGTTTCTTGAGGCTGCCTGGCTGATATTAAAAAAAAGAAGAAGAAGAAGAGAGAGAAGAAGGAAATTTGTGCATGTAGCTTACATATTTCAGTCTATTTAAATGATTAAGGATAGTTCAGAATTAGACTAATTCAATGAAATGTCGTTGGCTATTTGTTTAGCGCGATTCACTGTTACAGGAGGTAGATTCGGTGGACAAATCTGCATGATGGTTTCTTACAAAATCTTGACTTGTTTGGAGGCTGGATTAATGGTTGATAGTTTATTTTACAGTAGATCTTACCTTATTGATTCAAAGGTTGAAGACATGTCTTGATAAGATATAACCGGATAATGCAGACTGTATAATTCTAATTTAGTCAAATATTTTTGTGCTTAATTCTTTCGATAGAGATTGGAAATAAAATAGAATAGCTTTTAGTGTCACCTACACTTCACAATTATCAGCTTCATTGTTGCTGTTTAATAGCAAATATGAACTTTAAGTTCTTAAGATTGACTACAAAGCGTTTAGAGTCTAAGCCTTAGGGCGGTCATAGACTTTATTATTGTGAGATCCCACATTGGTTGGAGAGGGGAACGAAGCATTCCTTATAAGGGTGTGGAAACCTCTCCCTAGTAAACGTGTTTTAAAACCTCGAGAGGAAGCCCAAAAAAGAAAACCCAAAGAGGACAATATCTACTATTATGGTTACAATAATCGACTACAAAGCCTCTCCCATTTTTCCAGGGTATTCCTTTGTTCTTGCTTGTTAATAACTGGAGCCTATTTTTGCAATTGGTGTTCGGGTTTTCTGTTGTGGCTTCAGCTCCTCTTGTTGGCCTTGTTTTCTGTTTGCCTGTCTGTTATCT